CTGAGGAGTGTAGGGTTTGGGAATTATGGCAAGTTTAAAACATTTTTGGGGGAGAATTTCTAGCACTGCTCCACTCTGTTTTGAGATCAAAGCACTCTAGACTTAACGAGCTGCTCCATCCACTCTAATGTTAAAATCTGAAAAAGGCCTCTCTGCTAAGCTCCAAACTAAGTTCAATATCTCAAAAAGTTTAAAAGATATCAAAAATCTTTTATACAAGTTTTTTTAGCTGAAGGTATTGTGATCATTTGAAAGTTGGAATGAAGTGTAAAGTATGAAATTATGTGGAAGGAGAAGCATTTGGCGCAAAGTGTAGGAAAAGTGGATTTGAAGGCATCTCCCATTGACTTCAATGTTAAAAAAAGAGTTTAAAAAGCTGAATATTTTGAAAAGTATGAAATATTTTGAAAAAGTTGAAGGTTTCCCATCGATTCCTGAATAGGCTGAATAGTTTAATATTTGAATGGTTTCTGTAGCTGAAAATAAGCTGAAGTTATGTAGAGCCAAAGTATTGGCTGACATAATTTGTTTAAGGGGATTAAAGATTCGAAGTACTATAGTGGAATGCTGTAAACAGCATTGCCGTGTGTTAGAAAGGGAAGGGAAGAGAAGGTGGACTATCGCATGCAAATGTTTCTGCACATAATTGTTTTTGAATTCATGTGTTTCATACACGCCTACTGATACTTTGATGTGAACGTAAAACTTTAAAGGTCTCCTGATTTAGTTTGTGAATGAATGCTTATTTTTTATTCATTACCGAATCTGCACTAAGCATTAAGCTGCATTAAGCGGCTGGTATTGCATTTAAGTATGCTTAAATTAATAAGACGAGAGAGTTTCAGCTGGAGAGTGCGTGCGGACCTGTCGGTTAGATAACAGGCGTGTGTAAGTCCTGCATCTGTGTGATACAAATGTGTGTAAAATGATACCGGGCGCTGTAATCACTCATCTGGTTACGTTATTGACCACCCCCCCCACCCGACCCAAAAAAAAATGGGCTTCCCCTAAATGTTTCCCCATGCCACGCTACTGCTTCACTCTGGTGCAAAACTTTGTGCGCGAAGCCCCCACCTTTTTGTTTTAGCATGTGTGTGAGCGGGGAGAATCCCCTTTGATTCTATTGGCTCTAACGGTCAGAAAGAGATGTCAATCACCAAAATCACCAGAGAAACGGTAAAACCCCCATTTTCACCCAAATCACCTCAGAGGTGAAGTTTTTTTTGCTAAACCTCTCTAAAAAGGTCAAATGTCACTTGTTTTGCATCCATCTGGATACAGGGTACTTGTTATATGTTGTACTTTGGATTCCTCATCCAAGGGTAGTTTTCACTGTAAGTAAAAAATAATTTTTGGACGGACACTATAATTTACAGTTTTTTACTATGTTCAATCTGAATTTACTTCAAAATAAAAAACATCTATATTGATTCTGACTTTTCTACATCCAACTCACAGGTTTATCATTACTTTGAGAAAAAAGATTATTAATTTAACCCTTTTAGAAGGGAAGATATGGTCATTTGTTCTGGGAATGTCATTTTCGAGCCCGAGACCTGAAAAACAGGCTCAGGGCTAAACTGGTTAAGAATAAACATCTTAAAGTAAATAACAATAAACAATAGCCCTTAACCCTGTAAGGCCCCCGGTTGTAATTTTACAACATTACTTATCCAAAAAAGTCAGTAAATGTTTTTGTTTTTTTAAAAGATTACATTTAGTCAAAAGGTCCTTTTGTTCAGCCTCACAATGCTATAGGGTAGTACATGTGTTTATAGGTCCTGCCCTCTGGCCATACATATACAACTAACATTCCTGACAATAGATCTCAATAGTCATCTTTTATGGTGTAAATGCCTTTTTAATAATAACATTTTTGAATGGAACATTCTCAACATGAATGCATCAATCAATAAATATAACTTAAATATGTGGGAAAATACCGTGTTTGAAATGTATAATTGAAATGAGATGTTAGCTTTTTGTTTTGATATATATATATATATATATATATATATTGTATTCCAGTCTCCCTTCAGATATGTTAAGTGGCATGTAAATCAACACAATGCTGCTCACCTCCTTCAGTTGGGAGAAAAGCTGGTTCAGGTTCAGCCTTATGGGGGGACAGGGCTGCTGAGCCTAGAGATGGATCTGTTGGTCCTGGCACCAGGGGGAGGGACAACTGATTTAGTATGAATAGCTGCTGAAAATGTACCTGCATTTATTAAATATCAGCTAAAAGAGCAGTGAAATTAAAAACCTCTGCATTTTCTTTAAATATATTAATAGTACTTAATGTCAGCTTAGTAAAAAAAACAACATAAAAATTATTATTAACAATGGACTACGCTTAGCTAACAGACTAATTTCCACTTCTCATGGACCACACCCACCTTTTCTCTTGAAATACTGGGCGACATACTGTCGCCCTTTAGTCCCTCTCTCCTTTCTTTCTTTCCTTTCTTTCCGAAAGCCTGACTTTGTGAGTCGTTGAGACATCACACACGTAAGTACTAGCATCCCTGCTCCTCACATGCTCTCACTCTCTGCTAGAAAGTGCCGTTTAGAGGCGGGACCAAACCATTACATGTAAATAGAAGGGGGTGTAGAGAGGCTTTGGATAATTAACTTTTGGAAGAAAATAAGTTAAATGAATTGTAAGTTTAGTGAGTACATTATCAATATAACGTTATATTAATGTTAATTATTGATGAATGATGAAAGGTTACTTACATTTTTGTTCTTAATGTTCTAAAATTGAACACGGGCCCCCGCGGTGAGGGTGTTTGGGGTGGCCAGGATTCAGCTGGGGGTGGCCACGGCCAACCCCCAGCCACCCCCCAGCTCCGCCACTGCTCTTTCCCAATGTTAGTCAATGGGAAAAAGTCTTTCTGGACCTCACAGAAATTGTAGTACTGCCGTTTGGCCACAACGAATATTTTCCTCAGAGTCCGGAGCACTTCCTGGGGGCACACCCCCAAGACGAGCTCATTTAGATATCGGGACACTTCCTAGGACATGTTTTCCGAGTCAGGTCAAGAATCCTTCTTAGCCTCGGAAAACAAAGAATGGTGGAACAGGCTAACAGGTGTGCGTCATATGCGAGGCCCCGCCTTAAATGGAGCGCGATTTCCAGCAAAGATTTGGGAAATTGGTCCTTGCGCAAAGCATTGTGGGGATTTTAAGACCGCGGAGGATACACATGTGCAGCCTCGAAATGTCCCGCAATGAATGATTCAGTGCTCGGTAGAATTCCAAGGATCCTGGACATTGGAACAGTCCTGCGACGGGACTCGATGACATAGCATCCTTTAAATAGTGGCTCTGGAGGAGCCTTCCTCGACATTGAGAAACACCCATCTTCTCCTCTGTTATACATGTTGAAGGCGGGAAGAATTCGCCAAGATTATTGGTCGCAGAATGTTGGAGCTGATATTGACCAATCACCTGCTAGCATTCACAGTCTCCCCTGAAGGAGTGGGTTCGGGTTTCACATGGCGTTGTTTCAATGCATCCATCCATCCATCTTCTCCCGCTTATCCATGGTCGGGTCGCAGGGGTAGCAGTTCCAGCAGAGAGCCCCAAACTTTCTTTTCCCTGGCCACATCAACCAGCTCTGACTGGGGGATCCCAAGGCGCTCCCAGGCCAGCGAAGAGATATAATCCTTCCACCTGGTCCTAGGTCTACCCCTTGGTCTCTTCCCAGCTGGACGTGCCTGGAACACCTCTCTGAGGCGCCCAGGTGGCATCCTAACTAGGTGCCCGAACCACCTCAACTGGCTCCTTTCGACGCAAAGGAGGAGCGGTTCAACTCCGAGTCCCTCCCGGATGACCGAACTTCTCACCTTATCCCTAAGGGAGACACCAGCCACCCTGCGGAGAAAACCCATTCTTTCACACACACATACGGGTATTGGGCCGAGGGCGACACCGTACTTCCGGTATCCGCCATTTGACGCAAGGTGCAAGCAGAATATCATAGTCTATTGCCTTAATCAATATCTAGTCAACTCTAAAATACCACATATATGCAATGGCATGATAATATTATTGTGACAAGTGGGGTATTCACCTGATGTTTCTAGAAATTAGACGTAGATGCAGCCAAAATCGACGAAGGCCACTTTCGAGGGTCGTTTTCCCATACATCTGCAGGCAGTCTGTAAGGGCAATCCGACAAACCACACAGCTCTAGTTTACGCTGGTAACGACCTAGAGCACACCCTCAAGTCCAGAGATGTAATCCGAAGACATGCAGCGATTTCTTCGGTCGTTAATTCAGAAAAAAAAACTAGTGCGCTCTGCCTTGCTACGTTAGCTAGCTGTTTATATTAGCACCTCCAGGATATTTGCACTTCCAGGAAAATGGCGTATTTATATATATATATATATATGGCGCGAGTTGCATTGTGGGTAGCTCGTGACGTCACTGTGTGTGAAAGAATCTCGGCCGCTTGTATCCACGATAGTCTTTCGGTCATGACTCATGACCCATCCTTCATGACCATAGGTGAGGGTAGGAACGAAAATGGCCCGGTAGACCTCTGTCTACCGGGCCATTTTCGTTTCGTTCATTTTCGCTTTGCCTTCTGGCTCAGCTCCCTTTCCATCACAACGGTGTGGTAAAGCGACTGCAGTACCACTCCCGCTGCTCCGGCCCATCTCACGCTCCAATGTTCCCTCACTCGAGAACAAGACCCCGAGATACTTGAACTCCTTCACTTGGTGTTTCAATGCATGTGGAATGAAAACTAAAAGGATTCAAATGTAAAATGGTGGTTCACTTTCACAAGTGTGTTCACTTACTGCGTTACACTTCATTGTGGGCGCCTAATGTTTGATTGACATCTCACTCACTTCATTGTTAGGGCAGGACTATTTAACATCTTTATTATTCTAAGCAGCTCCACTTAATATATAATAGAAATGTAAGGCTCTTTCAATAACATTTATTTACTAACAACAACAATACTAATACCGTAGTAACAAGACAACAATTATATATTTTTTGTTTTATTGTAACAACAATAGTGCCAGAAATTGCACAGTTTGACCGTTTACAATGACATCAGATTAAAAATGTGAGAAATATAAAAACATCAAAGCAGTCACTTTTGACACAATAATGCTTAAACCTGAGAAGAACATTCTCTCACACCAAAGCCTCAACACAAAAAATAAACCTTCCCTCAGATATGGTACATTTTCACTTCCTTCATCTGCCAGGTTATTATTAAGGTCAGAGGACACTTTATTGTGCACAACAAGGACGAGCTGGCAGGAGGTTACAGGTTTGAAGTCACTGTAGGCAGAGGCTGAATAAAGACACATGATAGGGTTACTGGACTTTAAAGCACTTAGAAACGGTAGTAACAGAACAATATTACTTTGACTCCCATAGTACTAGATAAACCATCAGCTAGGTTACTTGGTAAAGAAAATGACTGATTCATCGTTGGCTGTCATTATCGTGTGTATGTGTTATTGTGGTATTGTACTACAGCCTTAAATCAGGATGTTTGTGCTGAGAACACCAGAGCATGTTTACGACTGATTCCACACTGAAATACATTTCACAAGGGAAATTGTATCCGTTCAAATGTTCTGTTCTAAAAAGGGATTTGGTTTGACTGAGTCATTCTTTTCAGTAAGTTAAACTGTGATTTGACACAAAGCCCGTCAAATCTCGGTCTGAACTTGGTCTGTAGGAAATGTTTTTTAAACATACTGTACGTTGTATAATGTAGATTTTATTGACAAGATGATAAAGTAACAAGATGCCTGCCTGAGGTATCATACTGTAAAGACTTATTGGACAATCATTTACTCTTTACTTCCTTGTCATAAATCAAGTGAGTAACTGACAAATTGACACATTGTCAGTGACAATAAGGTTCAAAAAGGATCTTGTGAGTAAGAAAGATTATTTTCTTCTGATGGAATATAAAAAAGAAAATGCCAAAGTGATAGTATATCAGTTTAGAATCAAGACCCTCATGTAAAAAATGTGAAACATCATGTCACAGTGAACACCGATATAATCACATTTATATTGATATAAAAACACATCTAATCTCAACTCATTTCTTCTAGTAGTGTGTACCACCAATCTACAAAGAGGCCGACCATGAAACTGCACCCAACAGACACGTGCACAGAAACGCTGACCACTTACGCCACCAGTAATCAATTCATAGACACACAAAGACATTCTGTGCCGGGACATTCTCATCGGGGACAGAAGCGGTGTCTCTGCAGAGAATGCTGACTCATGACTGTGCTTACTGCAGGGGCAAGAAGTATTGGTCCCTGATGAAGTTATCTTTAGTTCTATAGATCCACACACATGTGAAATCATACACTGTAGACCTGTATCATTTCACTAAGACACTGCTGCTGAGGCCTGACGGTGGGCCGGGCGCAGCAGCGCTGCATTCAGCAGCAGGAAGGCACAGCAGCTGCTCAGCAACATGAGAGCTGAGCAGCTGCAGGAGACACTACAGGAAATCACTTTCAGCTACTTTACACGTCTTCTTTCAGACTAGTGGCAAGAAAACATCCAGAAAAGACACTTTGACTAACTTTGTCCATTTGTTTCTGTAGATTTCTCCTAAATGACCCAACATGTTGCTTAAGATAATGCCTTGTTTATATTTAAACAAAGCAAATGTCTTCATGTAGGTGATCATCTATGTGTTACACTATCGCCTGTACTGTGTTGCAAAATGTAGGCGCTGGAAATGTACAATATCTTAAAAACTGTTTCTTAAAAATACGTTATTTCTCATGCTCTGATCTACATACACCAAATGTCATAGTGTCATTTCTGTCTTTACTGTCAAGGTCAAAATGGATTATTTGATGTACCGGTTGATAGTATTTTCTGACTTATGGAGTGACACAAAGATACATCCTACACAACTCTATTAAATGTCAAATCAATCAATGGATTTTAAACCTGGCATTATCTAATGTCACACTTCTGTTCCGGAAATGTATTCAAATTAGAACGCGCTGAATGAGAAAATGCCTAATTTGCACATTTGAAAAAATAAAATGTCCCTATTATGGACATGTTAAAAGGTCAACCCTTCACCTGTAGTGTCTCCCTTAAAGCAAAGCAGAAATACACAATACCTGAACACAGAGGCATTACATACACACAATGTGAAATCCAACTCTAGTTCAGCTGTGGGAGATCAATCACCGTCATGTGACCCACATGCTGTAAATAAACAAATGATAGGCCTAAGACACTGATCATCACAACAATCATAATGATGTTGTGAAGCAATCGAGGCAAAATAAATCCAAAAGCGTGTGACATCCTTTAACATCATGTGACATCCTTTATCATCATGTGACATCCTTTATCATCATGTGACATCCTTTAACATCACTAAAGAGACTTAAAGTCAAAGAGAAATAGTCAGATTCTTTCCCATTGTTTCTCCTGCTGTCAACAATCCCATTGGAAGAGCACAAGCAACTCCATAGAGTGTGTGTGTGTGTGTGTGTGTGTGTGTAACAGCCTGATACTGTGCCATAGAGTTCACTGTTGCAATGGCTGACCATAGTCCTTCATTACCATCATCGCACACACATACACCATCCTGCTAACAAATTGAACATTGAAAATAGTGCCCAACAAATGCACTATTTCCACCCGGATGCTTCGTTTCCTTTAAACTACAGTGGCAGCTTCTGAAAGAAATAACCAAGCCTTTCATGATTTCATCAGGAGGGAGCAATGGGCTTGAGGTTGAGTATTAAACTGGTTGTTGACAATAACAAAGATAAAGAATAACTCTAGCCTCTTAATTGCTCCTAAAAATCGTCAAAATAATTCCAAGTGTTCTTACACATCAAGTAAAAGCATTTAAAAACAGAAGATAGAAACAGACCGGTAGTTTTGCGATTCGGAAAAAGGTATTTCAAACCAAATAAAAAAAGTAAGACAAAAAGGTGGTGTTTCCTTGGTCTTTAGTTTTCACCTGTACACAGTGGATTACAGTAACCATGACATACAACTCACTTCTCTCAGTAACCCCCAAGTGCAGTTTGAAGCTCCAATCATACTGTACATCAGCTGCAATTCTGAACAGACATCCCATAATCCTCCAATGGACATAAATCCGAGGCTTAGAGGAAGTAAGTAAGCTGCTTTTTAAACTTCATCAAAAACAACATACAGCTTCAGCTGCATCGTATCAAAACACCAAGGACCATATCATGATTTTACATCAACATAATCTCAGCGACGCACCGTCTGTATTTAACCATGTGACTGTGTGTCTCTGACATAAACACTCAATAAATAGGAATCATTTGTCCCAGCCCCAGTTGATCATTTGTCTGTTTAGAATCTTTATCTCCCAATTCCTCTATTAACTCCTGGCCTAATCCTAATTTGTGCAAGTGTGGCACTTCAAAACAGACTGCAGACGGTCTCACACGGAGCTCTCCGGATCAAGCCCTGCAGCGGTGCCAATGACATGTTTACACAAAGAGTCACATCAGAACCTGCACATGCACCAAAGCCTTCTCCAGTGCACAACTTCCATTGGCTGTCATTGTTCTGGATATGGGGGGGATGTAAACATGATTACTTTGGATTGTCCTATGGAGCGTGTACACAGGTTTGGTGGCAGTGCTAGGACAGTCGTTCGGTAAAGAGAACACAAGTCATCGCTAAGCAGTAGGCAGTGAAGCAGTGTACAGTGTAGGGCCCGCAGCGAACTATGCCACCGTAGACCGTAGAAACCACACAAACACAACAACATATTTGAACAGTAACACCCTGTTGAGATTCTCTAGTATCAGTAGCTTCACTGGTAGTGGAGTTAATGCTCCTTGAAGGCAGAGCTATAGAAATACAGAGTAAGGCAAACTTGGTTTCAGGTCAATCCTTCGTTTGGAGCCATATTCGCACCAAATGCTCCAGGGTCATTACATCCTCCCATTCCAAAACATTGAGTAATTTCCATGGGGCTTTTAGTGCTAACATCGAGCGGACAGTTCCCAAGCTATGTATGTCTATGGCTCTGCTCCACGGCAGCTAGATAGAGCGCGTGTTTCCAGAACAGATGGGTCCGGAGCAGCAGCAGGGAGGCGGGCTGTAATCCAGAGAAAGGCTTGTTATGGTGGAGATGTGGACTGAAAGCAGACAGATACCGTCAGAGCAGAACACACGAGGCCAGAGGGACCAGCGCCGCCAACAGGAAGTAGCTGACTCTGTAGAGGTGGAGTGGAGAGAAGGTCACCATGGCGATGGACATAGGGAGCGGGATGCAGGATGTCAGAGGCAGGAGTTTACTGAAAGAGATGAAGAAAAAGATGGATCGTGAAAAAGATTTATACGGTGGACTATAACAGCCATTGTAAGTAAAAAAGGGAAAAAGGAAAACGTAGAGCCGTGGGATGAGGATATTCCAAGATGTTTTTTTCACTGACGGTAGTGGGGTGATGAGGCTGATCAATTAGCTAAATGTGGTGGTGTAGCTCCTTGATGAAAACCCCCCAGCTATTTCCCCAAATGCTTCTCTCTTAAATGTGTGACTCTACTTTGTTTAGGTTTATAATGTCAGCGAGTCTGAGACAATGTGTTGGTGACAATGTGCTTACCTGTTGCTGAGTTTTAAAGTGTTGCAGTTTATAAGCAGCATGTACACAATAATTAGAGGCACCGAGAGCGGCCAACAAGGGTCAGGGTCCAACTGGGGGGAATACCTGCAGAGGATCACAACACACATTCGTTTTTCATTCACCACGACATTGTGTCAAACAACAATTATTACTGTATGCAATTGAGCATACGCTTGCTATAAAAGTGACTGGAAAAGAATCACTTCCATTAAGTGATATTGGCATCAGCCATATCAGGCAAATGACTGTGAAATACACTTAAAACTAAGGACATCATTCATGAAAGCGAAGCAGTAAGTCGCTTGTTGGGAGAGTCCTCTTTTCAGCTCTGTTCCACAGACAGATCACAGGTCAGATTAGACACACAGCACCTCTGGAGCGGGTAAAGATTCAACAGCTGCTCTCATCAAAAAAGTGTTGTTTTGTTTTGAAAGATCCAGTAATGAGGCAGCTTGCAAAACAATGTGCAGCTAATATATGTCTGTAAATGTAGGGGAGTGGAGAAAGCCTTGTTTGGCGATTAGTGTGGTCTGAGTCAGGGCACAGGAAGTGATAGGATAGGACATGTACTTCCCTTATAGACTGGGCCCAATGTAGCGCTGCTGCAGGTGTGATTGTGGCTGCTAATTGGTGTGGTCGTTACATTTTTTTATGTTGACATTTGTATTTTTCTTAAACAGATACATAGCACTTATTAGCACTCTTAATGATGCAGTTGCAATTAGCAGACATTCTAATAAACACAGCCGTGGTGACCCCACCAGCAGGCGCTTCACCTCTCACACTCATCTACATTACCTCAGGTTGCGGATCCAGTGGATGAGTGAGGGTGCGATAAGCATGACAGGCAGCGTGAAGAGCGCCGACAGGCAGAGGTGAAGCTGTAAGTCATCCCGCACCTCCTGCAGGGCGCACTCAGACAGCAGGGGGGCGCCATTACATTCTGTAGACCTGCTCTGAGAGTCTCCCTCCACCGAGCCGTTCTCTGCTTCCTTGTGCTGCCGGGGGGCCTGGACAGATGGTGGGAAACACTATGACAACATCCAATTGGAATAGCTGCTAAATCCTGCCTCTGCATTCACATCCAATGCAACCTCAAACTGCACCAAAGGAATCATCTGGTGCTGGAAATCTCACCAGATTTAACATGTGACTCAAGGATCTTTCTGTCATCTGAAGCCTCAGCACCTGCAAAGGGAGACAGTCGGGGAGCAGAGTCAATGTTGTCGTTTATCGGTTTAATAATGAATGCTACTGTGTATAAAGACATCTGTATGACCATGTGCTGAGACTCACTCTGTAAAGATGGAGCAGAAAGGCAGCAAAGATAGACAGCGCCCCGCAGGATACCCCCCCCATAACAGTTAGGCTCAGAGTGATGAGGAGCAGGGTCCGCCGTGGCAGAGTGCCGCAGTCTCTAGAGACGGATGGTCTGCAAAGAAGAGGAGGTTTACGGTTATGAGCTTGGATATGAATCTGGATTTTTGAACTAAATATTTCTAAAGTCTGAAATGTGCCAGAAATCTCCACTCCAACACCAGGCGTTACATTGGGTTTGGTCATGTATCGTTTGTAGCTTGATTTACATAACATTCCTTAAAACAGAAAACATATTGACAGCTTGTTTCTGGCTTATGAGAGTTACTCTAACAAGTCAAGCAAATACACCAAGAATATGAAATATGGCTTTATCTAATGTTTACATTTCCAACTTTCAGAAATGCATGCAAATCAGCTCATATTTAAAATGATAATGCATCCTTTCCATCAGGGTATTCGCACATTTCTAAATAACGGAAAAACAAAACCTTAAATATGGCAAAATTAATGGAAAAGATAAACACTCCTGATTAAGCTTGAAATACAGATCAGACACACAAGGCCAAGCTGAGTGTAAGCTTCCTATTTCCCATGCAGAAACATACGTACTGAAATGCTTACAGACCATCCAAATAGAATTCACATATCTTGATGTTTAAATGTCCAACCCTACCTGTGCAGTGGAGCCAGTATTAGAGAGATCAGCCTCACGATGAGACGCAGCAGTGCACTTCCCCAGAACGCCACAGCGGCCCCCCAGATGTAAAACAGAGGGGACAGGGGGTGGGGCCATTCTTCAACTGGTACCCCACCCTCATGGAATGTCATGTCAGGTGTGGTTGAGGGGAGGGCATCCATGGGGGGGAGGTAGAGAACTGACCAGACATCTTGAAACCAGCTACAGCTGATCGGAGGGGGGAGAAGCAAGTACAAGTCATATTTCAATGTTTTATTACTTTGTACTTCTACCCCACTACAATTCAGAGGTAAATTGTGTACTTCTACTCCACTACATTTATTTTGTACCTTTAGTTACTTTGCAGATCTGGATGAACGATGTGAAATATAATCAAGTCTTAGATCAGACTTTAGTTCCACCCAGTGGCGTTTTTACATGTACCAAAGTGGTGGGGCACGAACAACTTAGATGTGTATATATAAGCTTCTGGTGCTTTTTGAAACAGGTAAACAAATAGCTGCAGACACTCATCACCAAGGTCACAATATCAATCAACCCAGCAGAGCAATAGCCTACAGGCAAAAAGCAGACGATCAACCGAAGTTATGACATCAAATGAACTTACCAAAGCTGAAGTAGATGGTCGACTTCATTCATTTTCTTTCCCTTTTACTGATTTGAATGGCTATACGCTGCTCTCTCTCGTCTCCTCTTCACATCTACACTTTCCGCGGCACACATACCGATCAGCTCTCTGAGCTATGAGATGATGTTTGGTGGGTATGGCAGCACAGTGCCCCTATGGGGATTATTTATTTGAGCATGCGCAGCGTAGTTTTTACAGCACCCATTCATTTTAACAGCAGAGAGGGGCTTGCCCCACGTCGCTCAACACGGCTCAATAGGCACACTGTAGACACTAATTACAAGAACGCAGACTAAAACAGCAATGTACAGACGAATCAGATGATTAAACATGATCTTAAAATATATTTTAACATATTTTTTGTTTTGCATATTTGGGGAATTATGATTTGCATTACTTTCTGCTGACACTAGGTGGGGCTGTGCCAGCCTGCCCCTAATGACGAGTCGCCACTGGTTCCACCTGGAGTGAATCCACCATCTACCCTGCAGTATACAAAGTCATTCAAACTAGCTGCACCTTCACCAGCTTTGAGAACACTTTCATGATCAATCATTATAAAACATATCATATATATTATTCTGAAATGGACCAATCTGCACAATGACTACTTTTACTGTCTTTCACTATATTTTGATGAGAATACTTTTCTACTTTTACTTGAGGAACATTTTGATTGCAGGATTTTTGTAACGGAGTATTCCTACACTCTGGTACTTCTACTTTTACTCAAGAACAAGACCTGAGTACTTCTCCCATCTCCACTTAAATGCAACTTCCAAAGCCTCACCTCAGTAACATGTGCAGAATATAAACGGGCAGATTGACTTGATGGGGCTGCAGGCCTTTGCCCACCGCCTGGCTCATGTCTGCAGAGCGCCTGGACTTCAGGATGGAGCACAGCTGCCCCCTACAGGCCAGGAGCAGGGTAACAGCTGTGTACACAGGCACCATAGGACCACAGAACCGCAGTATCTGCAAAATAAGAGAGAACAGATCCGATCAGTCCTGGGGGAACAATAAATGTAGAAGTGGTTTAAATGCAACAAACTGAAAATAAAATACTAGAAAGTTCTACCTGTCCCAACACCCGGGGTAATGAAGTCCTTACTGATACCTGAGGGGGAGAACCATATATTTCACATCATGTTCTAACCTTCTTATCTGTGATTAGAGAAAACATTTGCCATGATGAACGGTGGTCTGAGTACTTCCCACGCCTGAGGAGTAGTACCTTATATTGGCAGTTGGGGGCAGTGTGAAGCAGAAGTAAGACACCTGAGCTGTTGTCTGGACGACTTGTGTGTAGCATCCCTGAGATCTCAGTCACTGACGGCACACTGGCAGACAGACAACATCAAGTGTCAGAAACAGTGAATATGACGTGTGAGTGCCAGCAGAAAGAGCTCAGAGACACACTGACCTGGCGGTGGTTAAAGAGTCCTCTCCAAACCACGGGACATGTATTCTGTACACGTTGGGCAGTCTATCTGCAGGCACATGTAAGATGGTCATTATTACATTTGAAGATGTCTGCCTATGTATCACAACAAGAACGTACCTTTGTGTACTTTGCACTGGCTTGCCACATTAATCCTCAGAGCCTGATAGACCTAAAGGCACAGAGGGTTTAGAATGCAGTTAGACAGGAAGAGCAGTGATAGAGGCCGCGAGCATCAGCGAACACAGATCTACCTGGTGGAAGTGCTGCAGCTGGATGATGTGAAGAAGTCCAGAGGAGTTGACAGAAACATCACTGGCAGTCAGACCTGGAACAACCAACAGTTACTGAAAGTAATGTGTCTTTTCCCTCCTAGTATATATCTATCCAAGAACATCTGCATCATTTCTAAATCTGCCTCGATTGCACATTGTCACATTTTGCTTTCATCCATACACCAACTTTTCCACCTCAGCCAAACATGAGTTATATTTAAAGATTTGGTTCAAAAATCCACTCAAGTTTTGTATGCTAAATTTGAAAAAGCAAAACACCAGTAGATGGAAATGAACCTAGAAACATTGCTCACCAAAGGACAGGACATGTGGTGCTGGGACAGACAGAGTCTGAGATTCTTGTCTCTGCCACTCGCACTCCACTGTAAACTGTGGACCAGACACACTTTGTTTAACAATTAGTCATCATTCTAAAGCAGGTTGTTACAGACTATTTATTCTGTCTGTTCTGGCTACTGTTGCTGCGCTGTCTCAGGCCTCATAGCATGAATGTACCTGTTTGCCATTGAGGTTGGAGGCAGAAACAAGCAGATGAGTAACTGAAGACAAGTTGCTGAGACTCAGAACGAGGACCTGAGGAGGAGAACAGTAACCATGAGTAACCAACACCAGCTCAGACTGGAGGGTGTCTCTTCAGAGGACAGTTACCTTGTAGGGTGGCAGGAGCTCAGTTCCTGTGGACAGATCCACTGTATGCACACTGTCAAATATAAAAATCAAACATTTTGGATCTGCTGTAATATAACCACAAATGACATCATATGATCCGTTCGTTGTAATGAAGTGCAGAAAAAACTATCCAGATGCTGATGGAGAACATACAGTAGGAAAGAGATAACACTATTATCAGATTCTCACCATGAAGAAGCGTTCACACAGCCGTACACCCAGCTACTCATCTCCTGTTGGACAACAACAATAATCACAATCAGAATTAGTACAGATGACTTTGGAAGCCCATTTCCACTAATGTATTTTGTGTAAAAGACATATTCAAGCATAAACAAGAGTCATCTATAAAAGTTCATACCTGGCTGTAAAAGAAGAAAGATTAGATGAAATCATAGCCGTGTGTGATTCATTATTTTAGATACTAAGCCAATGTTTTGCAATACTAAGTTATCTTTATGGCAAAGCAAGTAATTATTTGATGATATGAAGTGTTTAGGGGGGAGCATGTGTGAGTGAGTTAAACACAGAGGGGAGGCCAGCATTAGCCCAGCATTAGCCCATAATTAGCCCAGCATTAGCCCAGCATTAGCCCAGCATTAGCCCAGCATTAGCCCAGCATTAGCCCAGCATTAGCCCAGCATTAGCCCAGCATTAGCCCAGCATTAGCCCAGCATTAGCCCAGCGCGGCCAACTCTCACCAGGTTGTTGCTCCGGCAGTAGAAATGGCTGTAGGCTTTCCTGCGGCTCGACAGGGCAAACAGAAAGTATTTGACTTGTCCTTCCTGTAGACACAGAGCAACAATGAAGACAACCAGCCTATTCATTTTCTGACAGTATCAGTGCTGTTGTTTTCTCAAATATATATAAATAACAGCATCTGATACCTTTGGTGTGCTGTAAGCCAGACGCAGTGTGTTAACTTCACTCCATGATTCAGGAAAATCTGGAAAAAAAGACAGAAATAAGTGATTCATGAATAACGCCACTCTCAAATCTTCATTCATTACTTTGCTTCATAGAGAAAATGAATGCATACTGTATGCAGTGTCAGAGAATATTTTAATCCGATCTGTGTGTTTAGAGGTTCTCAGTCTTTCTTATAAACTGTTGCTTAACAGAAGTGTGCTTTTGTTGAGTCGCATGTGATCCTGAGTGTAACCTCAGGAGGACACAGGTCAAGAGGTCCTCTGCCTTCCTGTGGGTGAGGGGTTTGGGCACATGAGGAGTTGCAATACAAAGGTGCCTTTGTTCCGATGTCTGGTAATGGTTAAGGCCCTGTCACACTGTCCCGAAATTGACACCCGATGGACACACGAATATGGAATTGTGAATTTTGCACGAAGATGGCCCCGAACCACACACGAAGGCAACATTTACATTACATTTAAGACATACAACTGCAATGAAAGTAACACAAACAATTATGTTACAGTACTATGATACTGTACTGATATCTTCAGACTTTGTTCTTTACTTTATCCGTCTTTATATGTAGAAAATATTACGTTTTCTCCGTAATGTTGTTTCCATAACAACAACAACTTCCTGTCAACTGTCCTTCAAAATAATATATTATATCCTTTTTAGTTTCACAGAACACAAATTGGGTTATTTACATAATATATTTACATGATTTTGTTGTGCAATAAAACAACCCGATGGACACACGATAAAGGAAATGTTCAAATTCGGCTGTGATCGTAGCAACATCGGGCCATTCGTGAGGGCATCTTAAGCCTTCGTATGACCGCCGGTGGAGTTTCTCAGGCTCCGGCAGCAACTTCGTGAGCGGTGGCAAAATCTTTGGCATGCCAAAAAATTGCCGAAGGACTTTGCGAAGGTTCATTTTCGTGTTGAATTCGTGTGTCAATTGTGCCCTTCGTAAGGCCATCGTGAGGGCATCGTGTTATCATCGGTGCCATCGGGCATTCGCCCCGATCAGAGTGAGGGCGAATGCACCGATGATAACACGAAGATGACACAATTTGACAAGATGCCCTCACGAGTACCTTACGAAGTTGCCGCTCACGAAGTTGCTGCCGGAGCCTGAGAAACTCCACCGGCGGTCATACGATGGCTTAAGATGCCCTCACGAATGGCCCGATGTTGCTACGATCACAGCCGAATTTGAACATTTCCTTTATCGTGTGTCCATCGGGTGTCAATTTCGGGACAGTGTCACAGGGCCTTTAGGGGAAAGGCGGGAATATAGGTCCCTCCTCTTTTTATGTATAGATCTGTGTTTCTGTCGTCCTTTGTCTTCAGAGTTGATTTGGTTGCTCGCATGAAAGTGTGAATTTACCTTGTGAACTCTCCGGCTGTATTCTCTCTCAATAAATATCAGTGTTTGACTAAAGACGATCCAGCTTCCATCATTTCCTCTGCATTGCTGCACAGAAGTTTTCATCACATGCAGAAATATGGTTCTAAAAGCACATGGACATGAATGTGCTGTAAACACTAGACTTCTGAAGAGTACTGGCACGTCTGTTTCCTCGGCTCTCCAGGGTGAGGTGTGTCCCACTAACCTGAGATGGAGACGGAGGTTTCTTGAGTTTCTTCCAGCATCCTGACAGGGTGTCTGATGAAGTGATGGCTCAGGACAGCCATTTTCTTCTCTGGGTTTACTGAGAACTAATAAGAACAAACACGTAAGCTTGGAGACAGATGGGAAGAAGCATTCTTATCAAAAATAAATATAATGTCTCTAGTACAGTACAGTCTCCTCTGTGAGGTAAATGAAATCCAACATTCAATGTTCTCTGCCATTGTTTATATTTGTGACTTTGTTATACTGTTCTCCCGTTAACTTCCAGAAACATACTAAGCTCGCTCAACTTCTCTCTCTCTCTTGCTCTACACAAGCACACACCACATAGGATAGGCTGTCCTTGTCTGCATTATGCTACTATTACAGTAAAACATCAGCAAAATTGTTACTCTGCAGACCATTTTGTAATCGATGCATCCCTAGTATTAAGGTTTCCTGTACTAACCTGTCTGGTTTCAGGATGGATGAGGTCGAATAATGCCCTGACAGTAGCAAGAACAAGCTCTTTGCACCTGGAACACAAGGGCATATATACTTATACCATCTGCATACTATTTCAATATAGTTCTAAAGAAATGCAAAGTCTAGCAAACATAAGGTCATGTCTTTTACCAAACGATGGACAGGTGGTCAGTAGACACCCAGGTCCTGGGAACTGCAGTTGCCTTGACAAAAACAAGATGACATGAAACGTCAGAGTGAAACAAGATCAAAACAGTAGTATTTGAGTTATTGTCTCATAAGGCAGAAAAGAACACCTCTGAAGCAGGAACTACATTTCGACCCAGTCACTTCACCTGTAGATGCTTACTCATCATTTTGAAACACTTACTCATTCATTCGTGAGATTTTGTCATTATACTTACTTATTGCATATTTTTTCATCACAAGGCTCTTTTACTTTTTTAATATCAGTTATGGAATCAATCTGTAGATGCTCGAGCTCAAAATCAGACCAAACTTTTCTATGGATGTTAGTTAAAGGTTTTTCTGCATGTAAACGGTCTGCAGAGTCACAAACCCTCAAAGTACACCCTGTAGCGAGTAAAACTCTAACACAGGAAAGACCTGTCTGTGCTGCCCCAGAACGCCTCATTGGACATTTCTCTTTTTCTTCCTGGGTACAGTGACGTGCCCATACCCAAATGGACTCATTGGTCCAAATTAGTGCTGCGTACCTGGACTCACATTCAGGTTCAGGTCCGGACTCAAGTCCAGAGGTTCAGGTTCAAACCCATGGCTTGTGTCAAGAACCCATGGCTTGTGTCAAGAACCCATGGCTTGTGTCAAGTTGTGTGAGTAACTAAAGTGAACTTATTGTGAGCTAATTATCAATTGAAAATAAACTCATAATCAACTCAAATTCAAATCGTCAGGTTTATTGTGCTCCCTTCCAACTTGTGTCTACATTTCTCTACAAAGCACAAATGTAAAAAAAACACTTTTTGCCACTTAGTCTACAAATGACTTATGACAGCAACTACAGTGAACTACTACACAGTTCAAACATTTATTTCACCAAACAAAGGAGTTAGCTACACTACCAAATATCCAATATGGCGACCAGCAGCCCACGCTGTCCACTAAGGACGACTAAGCCAATCACATCGCTAGCTTCCCTTGACGTCACACAGATCTCGCGAGCAGTTGCGATATTTTGCGAGACTTCGTGAGTTCAGTAATGGCCGCCATATCAGAAGCCGACACGATGTTTTTCGTCTTTTCTCAGCGCAAATTTCTCGATCTATGCAAGGTTTTAGATGGTTTAGAACAAAAAGGAGAATATACATAAGTGCTAGTTTTTTTGCGAGTCCAAGTACCGGTTCCCGACGTTCCGGTTTTAACCGGACTTGAACCGAAACTTTTTACAAGTCCAGTACCGGTTCGGCGTACCGGTACGCAGCACTAGTCCAAATGGACCAATCCGTGGAGCCGTTACGTTACGTCCGCGGAGCCGTTACGTTAAGTCCATGGATTGGTTAAAAATTGACCTATCCGCGGACTTCCTCACACACACAGCTTTTCTCAGCTGCAGCTCTGCCGATTTCTCCTCCCTGAGACGGCGAGACGCGGCGAGGCTGTGAGGAGGTGTGTGCACACACACAAACTCCCAGCCAGGCAGCGGGTGTGTGTGTGTTTTGGCTGGGTTTCGCTGTGTCTTGCTGTCTCGCAGACGGCCACTGGGCTCATGGGGGGGGAGGCAGGAGCTCCAACCAGCCACCAATGTGAGTTTGGAAAATTGAACAATATAAATGTATTCTAGTAGACCTCAACAATGGAATTATGATCAGTAGAAATGGCCATGACATGGGACCTTTAAAAAGGCCAACATGCTTGTTTTTAGCCTTTTGCTATAGAAGCAGTTAAGAGGAGTGAGGAGGTTTAATAAAATCTTTGCTTTTTTTTATTGCATTTTTTAAAATCAGGATCTGTTTAATTCTGTTCTGCAGAGAGAATTCTCTCCACCGGCACACTGGCACTGGGTTCACAGGCTACTTTGGCCATCATTAATGAAGACGTAGCAGGCAGAGACAATATGATCTCCATAACCAGAGTCTGTCCTCGCAGCTGCCTGCTTGGGGCAACGATGAGAGCAGCTTGTGCTGACTCATCCTCGAAAACCCTTTAAAAATGTCAAATTGTGCTTAGATGGAATTATTTTTACTGGACATTATGTCTTGGGATCATGTAAAGTAAAATGTAGTAAAGATTTGAATTTGTCGGACTTCAACAGATTTTCCTGGTACGGTAAATAGCGGCTGACGAAACACTGCTCTGGACAGACAGAACACATGATATTATTATAACAGCACTTACCACCAGTGACAACTTATTGGGGTCTCCTGGGGGACAAGGGAGGGATGTGAGGCCGGAGCGGACCTGGTAGTCACGGTAACCACCCCCAACAGACAAAACTGTGACATTCCTGAGCTTTTTGGCCTGGTTCACCCACTTCTGTCTCACTGCAGAGTAGAAATCTACATAGAGCAGGGACAAAGACACGTTTAGTTATCCTCATTTTGATATTTCATAGCACACAAATGGCATTCAAAGGTTCTGAAAATGTTTACAAACCCAAATAAGTCACTCTCAAATGTAAAGTACGAATCCGACAGCTTGCATTTTAATCTTGACTAAGTTTCCCGATAAGGTAGAGTCAAAGCTGTGATAGAATGATTGTTTTTTTATATTATTAACAGCTGAAGGGAAGCCATTGTTAAGCACTAGGGATGGGTATCGTTTGAAATTTATCGATTCCGATTTCGATTCCGGTTCTGCTTATCGATTCCGGTTCTTATCGATTCCCCGTTTCGATTCCAAAATTGTAAAATAAAGAGGTCAAACGTTTAGATAACAAAAATATATTTATTCTTAAAGCTTTAACTGAAATTGTTACTAAAAAATATACATGCAATACAAATGTATTGCACAATAGCTGTGCTTTATTTTAACTGAGCTATGCCTGTGGCAAGCTATTAACAGGCATTACACTTTGCCTTTTCTGTTTTAGTCTAGTGGAGCCTCAATTCAGAGTGTTTACCGCGACCTATCTTTGGTGTTATGAAGTGACTGAGCTCGTGAAATGTCTACGGGAGGGCGGGGGAGCATCGCTGCGGGGCAACTGTGGACCTCTGTCGCCTGTCAGCGCAATTTATATGATGCCGTTTAAAAAAATGAAGGGCGGTGCCGGCCGTCAGCATACCGAGCCGGCCGTCAACGGCCCGCTGACGACCGGCCGTTCTGTGATTCTCCAGGTCCGCCCTGTATTCCACCGGGTCACCGCAGCACCGCGGTGCAGACGGACCCGCTGGAATACAGGGTCTACCGCGTTTAGGAACCGTTAAGCAGAACCGAAATTGTGTATTTTGTATGGGTACCCGGTACCCGGCATTTTCTTATCGGTTCTCATCTGGAACCGAGTTTCGGTTCCCAACCCTATTAAGCACTCAACCCTAGTACTTGGTTGGCTGTTTTTGATGGTAAGTAAAGAGTTCAGTTTAAGGTCCAATGTCATACAAATGCAGCTTTTCATACCAGCTGAACAACACAGTGCTCCTTTGGATAAAGCTACTCAGATAATCAGTTTAAGCAGCAGTGGTTGTGTTGCAGTGAAAGCACGGGACGACTGCAGACAGCCTGAGGGGTCCTCACCCAGCAGGTAGGGGTCCAGGGCCAGCACTGGAGCCAGGTGGGGGGAGGCCTGTGTGATGATGAGGCTCACCAGATTGGTGTTGAAGCGGGGCAGGGTGAACAGCGCCCGGGCCACCACCCCCCCCATGGAGTGACCAACGAGAACCACACTCTGAGGGGGGGTCTTCAGGTGCTGGCAGGCAGAGAAAAGGAGAATACTGAGTGTTGAAACAAGAGGTTTATGTAATTACTACAATCACTTTACTAAAACTCTGGGTCTAGGCTTGTTATTAAATAGTAGTGTTAGAAAGGTTCAGTATTTCCATTCGATTGTGCAGTAGACAACAACTCTATATACATTCCTTATGTCCTCTTTGTTTAAGCTGTGACTTCTGTTCCTCTGAAGGGTCACTTTGTATTTGGATCTTTATAAATTAAGTGTTTTTGGACAGGTGTGTTTTCTGTCTAATTGTTGACATTATGCCATGTTTTTTTTACTACTGTGATATGTGCTAGTCAGATGGGTTGATTATAAAGTTGAAATGTAAAGTGTGATGAAAGGAGATATGTACCCTCACACTCAACACAAGCACTGTCTGTCACTAAGTAAGTGACCCTGTGTGACGACTAGATGATATTTGAGGCCTGACCTTGTATAGCCTGAGGATGGCTTTAATGCTCTCGTGCAGGAAGTGTGTCTGCCTCAACAAACTGCCGCCGTAAAGAGCCACCAGCTCCTCGTTGAAGTCCACCGTGAACACGTTGAAGTGGAGACCTCCCTCCATGTCCTCAGCCTTCCTCAGGGCCACAGAGCCCAGGGAGCGAGCTTTAGAGAGAAGAACACATTGATGGTGTCAAACGCTGCAACCAGGCTGGGACTTTTACAGACATGTTGAGAAATCAAGCAGATTCAACCCAAGTAACCATCACACTGTGCTCAGCCTAAACGGTTCAACCATTTGTTCCCCTATTACCTGTACAGCTATTTATTCATGTCATTAGTTTAGTTGTGAGTTGCAGAGTGTTGGAGATATCTACTCTCCAGGGGCGGACTGGCCATCGGGACGTTTGGGACGAATCCCGATGGGCCGGTACTGATGTGGGCCGGTCGGATAAGTCACTTGCCCCCGTCGTCGTCGATAATTTACTAGCGGTATTTACTTGCGGTACTGAGGCGGGCCGGCGGTACCGAAGTGGGCCGGTCGAGAGTCCCGGGGCGATTTGTAGTCCCAGTCCGCCCCTGGCTGCTGTACTCAGTGTTTTGTCTCCCTGTTCCTGCCTGTTGGATCAGCTGATAGAGGTGTTATGGTTCTATGTTCCTGCCTGTTGGATCAGCTGATAGAGGTGTTATGGTTCTATGTTCCTGCCTGTTGGCGTCAGCTGATAGAGGTGTTATGGTTCTATGTTCCTGCCTGTTGGATCAGCTGATAGAGGTGTTATGGTTCTATGTTCCTGCCTGTTGGCGTCAGCTGATAGAGGTGTTATGGTTCTATGTTCCTGCCTGTTGACGTCAGCTGATAGAGGTGTTATGATTCTATGTTCCTGCCTGTTGACGTCAGCTGATAGAGGTGTTATGATTCTATGTTCCTGCCTGTTGACGTCAGCTGATAGAGGTGTTATGATTCTATGTTCCTGCCTGTTGGGCGTCAGCTGATAGAGGTGTTATGGTTCTATGTTCCTGCCTGTTGACGTCAGCTGATAGAGGTGTTATGATTCTATGTTCCTGCCTGTTGGCGTCAGCTGATAGAGGTGTTATGGTTCTATGTTCCTGCCTGTTGACGTCAGCTGATAGAGGTGTTATGGTTCTATGTTCCTGCCTGTTGGCGTCAGCTGATAGAGGTGTTATGGTTCTATGTTCCTGCCTGTTGACGTCAGCTGATAGAGGTGTTATGATTCTATGTTCCTGCCTGTTGACGTCAGCTGATAGAGGTGTTATGATTCTATGTTCCTGCCTGTTGGATCAGCTGATAGAGGTGTTATGATTCTATGTTCCTGCCTGTTGGCGTCAGCTGATAGAGGTGTTATGGTTCTATGTTCCTGCCTGTTGACGTCAGCTGATAGAGGTGTTATGATTCTATGTTCCTGCCTGTTGGATCAGCTGATAGAGGTGTTATGGTTCTATGTTCCTGCCTGTTGACGTCAGCTGATAGAGGTGTTATGGTTCTATGTTCCTGCCTGTTGACGTCAGCTGATAGAGGTGTTATGATTCTATGTTCCTGCCTGTTGGCGTCAGCTGATAGAGGTGTTATGGTTCTATGTTCCTGCCTGTTGACGTCAGCTGATAGAGGTGTTATCATTCTATGTTCCTGCCTATTGGCGTCAGCTGATAGAGGTGTTATGGTTCTATGTTCCTGCCTGTTGACGTCAGCTGATAGAGGTGTTATGATTCTATGTTCCTGCCTATTGGCGTCAGCTGATAGAGGTGTTATGGTTCTATGTTCCTGCCTGTTGGCGTCAGCTGATAGAGGTGTTATCATTCTATGTTCCTGCCTGTTGACGTCAGCTGATAGAGGTGTTATGGTTATATGTTCCTGCCTGTTGGCGTCAGCTGATAGAGGTGTTATGATTCTATGTTCCTGCCTGTTGGATCAGCTGATAGAGGTGTTATGGTTCTATGTTCCTGCCTGTTGACGTCAGCTGATAGAGGTGTTATCATTCTATGTTCCTGCCTGTTGACGTCAGCTGATAGAGGTGTTATGGTTCTATGTTCCTGCCTGTTGGCGTCAGCTGATAGAGGTGTTATGATTCTATGTTCCTGCCTGTTGGATCAGCTGATAGAGGTGTTATGGTTCTATGTTCCTGCCTGTTGACGTCAGCTGATAGAGGTGTTATGGTTCTATGTTCCTGCCTGTTGGATCAGCTGATAGAGGTGTTATGATTTTATCTTGTTATGCAGCAGTTTGATGATGCTCTCAGAACTAGTTAAATACATGGGGTCTGGGTAGAGTTCTTCAGAATTGACGTGGCAACTCTACCGTGAAGTCAGAACCTCTGGCTCTTGGACTTGTTTTGTGAATCCTCCGGCCGAAGCTCCTAAATAAACCATCAGTGTTTGACATCAAAGATCCTGCTCTCCTCATGTCTCCTTCCTGAGTCGGTGACTCCTCCTCCTGCATTGCTACACAGACGTTTCCCCCACAATTATTATTATTATGATGACTTGTTGGCGGATGAAGGTTAGCAGAGAGAAATGTTCTCAGATGTTTTGATTGTGGACGGCTGTGCCTTTAGATTTCATCAGAATAGGACTTCAGTGATTTGATGTTACAGCAGGATGTACAAAAGACCCTGCATGAGTTCAAACATGACCTAGAAAATAAACATAAACTGTAAATATATACAAATATCAACAATAAAAACATATATCTCTAGAGAGTATCTCTATCGAATACCTAATATAAATATAGAGGATAAGTTAGTACTACTATACTTATACAATGTAAAAAAGATAAACATGGGATACTAAAGATACTACTTATTCATGTGCACTTTTACATTGAAATTGAAATGTTATGAGGTAGGCTGAGAGAATACGATATATCAATGAATGAATTACTACATATAGGCAGCAATGATTGTTATATGCTAAGTATTGTTTTATTTAGTTTGAATGATTGATTATTGAAGAGTCATCACTTCCTAAGATCCTCAGCTTTGTGTGACCTCTTTACTAATAATAATAATAAATGGAATTGATAAAGCGCCTTTCACGAGACCCAAGGTCGCTGAACCCTCTTTACTGCTAATAGAGCTCGTTAGATACTAACCGTCTGGACTACTTCCCTGCATGAAGACACACCAAGCAACACCCTGATCTTACTAACGCTGGTGCTCCATCAAGCTGTTTCACTTGTGAACTTAGGAAGCTTATCGAACCAACAGCTGTTGTTCCAAATACATTGGCTCAAAGACTCTTAATGTTAGGCAGACATGTTGAAGAGCAGAGAGAGCATGGACCAGCATCACAAACAGCACAATGTGTTTGTGTTCACACAAATCAAGGCGTGGGTGTTCCCCTCCTACACACAACTGATAGCAAGAGCACAGGAAGACGTCCATCCCTGAGAGCATCACTCACTTATTATTCAGACAAAAGATGATGTTGATGTTGATGGCTTCATTTCATATATAATATAATTCATTTATAATGTTCTCATTTTTAACAAATCTGATGAGTAGAGCTAAAGGACAATGTTTCACCCTATTGTCTTATGGCTTTCCACCCTGTGTTCCTTAGAGCAGTGTTTGGGTGCCAGATAAGAGGCGGCCCGCTGCCGTGGGAACAGGACCAACTGGTTCCTAATCAGGCCCTGGAACTGGTTCGGTGGGAAAGGGTGTTCACCAATGTCCTCAAACTGGCAATACATCATGAATTGAATTGTGATGCACAAAGTAATGGCTGGAGGATAATGACAGTAAGCATGTTATAAAGTCTCTGTTGCGCAGTTCTTTAGGAAACAAATGCAGTGTCCTGTGCTCTGAGAAAAACACACAAATAATCCAACAACTCTTTTAGGAAACACCAAGGTGGAAAGGTTATCTATACTGCTTTAAAATGATAAAAGAACCTTATCAAAACAAAAAATGCAAAAGAAAACGACACACTTTTGGGTGATTTAGTGTAAAAGCCAGTTGTTTAGGATGCAGAGATTCCAAAAGCCACCCACCTGGCATAACTGTAACATCCACCGTCTTAACCAAAGGAAAAGCTTGTGTGCATGCCAGTCAGTTCCATGGACATGAAGCTATGCTCAGGTCCTCAAACAGCCTCAGCCACTGACCTCCTTCTTCTGCATCTGAAAGCCTTTGCTCTCCAAAGCCAAAGCCTTTTTTTCCTCACTCTCGTTGACCGCTCGTTTACTTCCTGCACTTACCTTGTTTGTAGCTGCCTGCATTTCCAGGCAGGAAGAGCACAGGGGCCCCGGTGAGTTTGAGCGCTCGGGTCTCCTGGGCGTACACACCCTCTCCGTACAGGTACAGGCCGTACGCTGGGTACAGTCTGGCCACGCGGCGAGGCAGAGACACACGCTGCCAACACAACACACACAGACACACACAATCACACAGAGCAGGAGGGGAAGTCCCACACAGCTAACTCTGGGCATTAACCTTTGTCAGCTACTGTACTCTACTGTAGCTGACTAACCCTCCCTGCTTTGCTGGTCTATTCTGCTTTTACGTGAGTAGGAACATTACAGGTTTAGCTGACCCTTTATGTGTCCAAGAGATGGCCAGACTATTATTACCATAGTATCAAGAACAAAACAGGAATCTTGAAGATAATGTGTGCGAGAGCACGAGCAAAACAGTTTCAGAATGCTTTTATTCCTAAATGATTTATAAGTCAAAATAAGTGATTTCTCTTAGAACAAAACCTACAGTCCTGTGTGGAGTCAAGTGTATGACTATAGCTTAGTTTGTCCCAGCTGTGCTGCACATCTGGACAGGTGAGCACATTGGGCAAAAAGCAGTAGAGAGAGAGCTCCATTGCATTACTAAAACGGACAGTAGCTGACTTGAAGCCTGTTTGAAGCTTAAAGGCTCAGAGTGTAGGATCAGCAACTGATTTATGCTTTTTGAACATAGCTAATTGTGGCTAATCCAAATCCCCAACAACGTCTAAGCAACCAGGCTGGCCTCTGCAACATGTAGCTTTCTATTTGACATGTATATTGTTCACTTCTCCTGCATTACTAATCTTGCGTTATTTATTTCTAATCTGTTTCTTCTTACAGTATTTTTTATTTGTGTTATTGTTTTATGTCTAGGAGCCTGGGACTTAACATTGCCATAACTACACTGTAGTTACTGTGCATGTGACAATGAATCTTGAAGTGTGAGTGTGTGTGTGTGTGTGTGTGTGTGTGTGTGTGTGTGTGTGTGTGTGTGTGTGTGTGTGTGTGTGTGTGTGTGTGTGTGTGTGTGTGTGTGTGTGTGTGTGTGTGTGTGTGTGTGTCCCATCGAGGAAATAGAAGGCATCACAGCACTACACCTGGCGTTTACTTGTTCTACTAGGTAACATTAGCATGGTTTAGGAAATAGCTTAAAGAAGCTCTACGTGAAGCATTTCTATGCAAACACCATTTTCGCAGTATTGAAATGAAAACATTTAGCAAGCTAGGGTTTATTTAATCAAATCAAGTTTTATTTATATAGCACATTTATAAACGATGTTTGGTGGAGCCAAAGTGCTGTAGATATAATAAAAATAGCCTACAGTAGAGACACTTTACAGCAAATACAACAGCACAGATTGTTCAGAATATCAGTATGAGAAAAACGACACCCTCTATCCTTAGACCCTCTATCCTTAGACCCTCTGTCCTTAGACCCTCACATCGTACAAGGAAAACATTTAGCCTTGGCCAGGAATGAGGCACACTTTGCTACTAGCTAATGTAAGGGGAACGTCATGCTGGGAGTTGGGGGGATAATAATTGGCTGGCTACTCACCCGGTACTCCGGGTATTCAAACATGTAGGTCATGCTGCATCTGTTCTCCTCGGAGCCAGTCAGCAACTCTCGCAGGCCGACCGCCAGAAGCCCCAGAGCAAACCCGTAAAAGGCCACAGTGGCGAGTTTCATGGTTCAGTTGTGCCTCTGGGTTTCAGATACTACAGGTGTTTCACCTCCATCTTTTCATTTCCATTCTGTGGACTCCTCCTCGCCGTAACACCAAAGGCTGTCAGACCCACCGCTCACCTCACAACAGGAAGCACACACTACAGAAACGCTAGTGATTGGCAGGTTTTTCGGCCAATCGGAGGAGAGATCTGTGAAAATAGACCAATGGAAGAGCAGAGAGCGAGTGACAAAATTACACATAAGGAATTGCTAAATTTAGCTGCTACATTTATTTTCTTTCAGGCAATTTTCCGTTTCATTTTTACTTTTCTTTTAAGATGTATTTGTTGATTATATCATATTCATCTGTTTACAGTCCACACATTTATACAATAAGCAGTATTTTATTCCACTGTAGCCTACAGTATTTTATATTCTTATTCATCTTACTTTATTTGACATATACACAGTATATTGCTTATTCCTGAATTTTATTTGCACCATATTAGCTTATGAGATCAACATAAACAAAAAGACCTATTAACTGTCATTCTTCAAACACAAACAATTGCGACAACTGGTACTATGCTCTGTGCACTGTCTAGATTTATATAAGATTTATTTTTATGCAAAACATGTTTAAAATGTTGAGTGGAATAAATGGCACATTTTTCATTTCTCAAATCTTTAATTAAACAATCAAAGGTCTGCTGCAGCTTTGTATACACAAGGTACATACAGTATATACACCTGTACATGTACATGCATATGTATGAATAAGTTGACTGTAATGGGTTGTGTTGAAAAACAAAGACAATGTTTTATGGGAACAAATCTTCAAAAATAGAAAACAAGATGAGTTTTCAAGAACAAGCCCCTCCATATGATAACATAGTTTACATTTACTAATTATTCAAAAATAACGTATACATGAATCTGGCCACACTCTTAACTATACAAAACCAGACAAGTTCTGATGTGTGTGTGTGTGGGGGGGGGGTTGCCATGTGTCTTCTCTACAGTGAACCGTGTCTGACTCCACCCTGGTCCTGGTGCTTCCCTCTGACAGCCCTGTGAGGAGAAGCAGCATCACTTGCTCTGTGCGATTCAAAAGTACAAACTCCATTTGAAGGCAAATACTGAGGGGGTTCATGTCTTCAATCAGCAACACTGCATCAAATCAAAAGCATCTTAATCCAAAAGCTTGGAGTGCTCTATCTTGGTAATAGTCCAGGCTGGAGCCACTCCTTCAGTGAACTCCCTTTGGAATCTGTCAGGAAGACGGAGCAGAAGTCAAAGTCACACAAGACAATTTCAACATTTCCATTTCCAAGTGGTTACACTCCGGGCAGGACTCACTCATAGTGTGCACTCAGGAGTCGCTTAGTTTCTGCTTCTCCCTCCTCACCGAGCGCCACCTGGAACACCCGCGTTCCCTCCATGGTGTCCTCAGGGAGACGCGCGCTCGTCAGATACCAGAAACGCATCAGAATGCTGACAAATTTTCGCCCTGGAAAGAAAGAACGTACACCGATGATCAATACATCATCTGGGCTTTTCCTTTTCCAATGGTTCAACATGTACACACATGTACATATATATCACCCTGATATATATATGTACACGTGTGCACATATATATATCGAATGCTGAACAGATTGTTAGGCTAATTTGTGATTGGTGATATTGGGCAACATAAATAACATTTACTTGTAAGAAAAGTTCCATATAAATGAATGCAGATCTTTACAGAATGCCTTTTTTTCACATTCAAAGCTTTTATTGAGATAAATCATAAAATATCAATTTCACCCTAAAATAAGCCTTTTCTTTTCTAGAATCTAGAACGAAGCAGACTTTGCTCAGGTGAAACATCTCGGAACCTTTTTGTTTCAATAAATACTGCATTTGAACTCTGGAGTTACTAGTGAGGTTTGATTCAGCTTCAGACACTATGTAACAAGAACAGTGAAAGAATCAAATATATATTAGAATGTTGATTTGAATTTAGAATTTAGAGAAGTCAAAGTGTTGGACAAATCTTTTAACTATTCAATACAGCCCTACCAATTCATATATACGAAATCAGCAAAGACACCTGAACATTGTTCACACCTGCAATATAAGTCTGGCTCTTATCTGTATTTTTCTCTCACAAATTCAATACAAAGAACACAATCTACAAAGCATCAGTCCCTCCCTTAATCCCATCAGTCCCTCCCTTAATCCCATTAGACCTCCTGACACACCGAGGCCTTTCTGCTGAGGATCCATCTAGAAAGAGAAGACTCACCAATGCGCCAAAACAGCGGACATTTTCTGTATTTCCAGAAGCAGGACAGAGGCCGTTTCTCAATGTCGAGTAAACCCGCTGCAGAGACACTATTTCAAGCATTCATTTCAAACCTTTATTTATCCAGATTGTCCCTTGAGATCATAGATCTCTTTTTCAAGGGAGACCTGCAAGTATACTACGTCATCGAGTGGCACCGGAGGACGGTTTGAATGCATGTTAAAGGCCCAGCATTCGGCGCCACTCGATGACGTAGTATACTTGAAATAGTGGCTCTGCAGCAGCTTTACTCGACATTGAGAAACGACCAGTGTGTGCAAGATTCAATCTGAATAACCTACAGGAAGTGCGTTCATAGTAATAAAAGAACATGTCACCCAGAGCTCCTTGAAGAGATGGATTATTAGCACAGAGAAAAATAAATGATCAGGTGTTCTTTAATAATAATAATAATAATAATAATAATAATAATAATGTTGATTTGTAAAGCACCTGTCATTGCTAAAAGCAATCCCAAGGTGCTGGAGGAGGCATTTTTAAAAGAAACTAATCAAAGGCTTTTTTGAAAAGCAAGGTTTTTAGGCCTTACAGACAATACTTGTTTATAAAATAAATTCATTGTTGGTTTGCATGGGACTAATTGACGAATTGCAGGAGCAGAAAGGTAGCACTCGGCCTTATCCTTTCAACATAGAGTGAGGAAGTAGACTTGCTGCTGACCGTCATCATCGTAGTAGATCCCCACGTCTCCAGGAGTGGTGTACATGATCTCCTCCGGCTCCACAGACAGAGCCTTCTTATAGTTGGATGGCATCAGGTTCAGCTTCTCCTCCAGCTTCCCAATCAGCTGCAGACACAGAACGCTAGATAGGAATACTGAAAGTCTATCTTTCACACAAGAACATGTGTCTTGGTTATGTTATGATATCTTTGTGTGATCAATTCATTTTCAATTCAAATCATTTTTTTGTTATTCTTACAACCCCTCATAATACACTGCATCGGAGCATTTCTCAAACTCTGAATGCGGTTCAAAGCACGGCGGGAAGAAGAACATGTTATGACAAATAAGTGATCAATGTTTGAGCTGCATGATCATGTACAGCAGTGGTCACCAACCAGTGGTGACTCCATCCACCACCCCGTTAGCAGGTGCCACTTGATTGACGTATATTTGAGACACCTCAATAATATAATACATTAACCGTGCTTTACGTGAACCTGAATGCAACAGAGGCAAGTCACCAGACCAATCAGAGAGTTGCATGGAAATACACGTGTGCTTGTGTCATTCAAGCTCGGCTCTGTGTGTGTGGCAATAGAGCATTTAGTGTGATGGAGGGAGAGAGGGAGAGAGAGAGAGAGAGAGAGAGAGAGAGAGAGAGAGAGAGAGAGAGAGAGAGAGCGGTGCCAGCAGGGACCGTGATGTTAGCATCTGGTTAGCTAGCTGCACTAACGGACATAAGGAGCCGTTTCCACAACAAGCTGGAGGAGAGTCCTCTCCTCTCAGACTGAGGGGCTCAGGTGAGCTAAAGGACTCTGAGTGTTTAGAACAGTTTTGTCACAAATTATTCAAAAGATTATTTCCGCGGCACACCTTCATATGATCATTATAGTTATACAAACAATAAGAGAATACATGAAAAACAGGTATGAAATACTATATGACAGTAAAACAAGAATACAGTTTAAAAGGGTGATTTGTAAAATATCCATAAAGAAAAAGTAAGTCTGCTTACAGTTCTGTTTCATCTGGGTGTTGAGAGATGTATCCATAGATCTCTCCATGTTGCTCTCAAAGTGCATCAGATTGATGCTTTTAACTTCAATGTTTAAAAATAAATCTTCCCGGACCCCCCTACAGGAGGTGAGGACCCCCCTAGAGGAGGTGAGGACCTAGAGGAGATGAGGACCCCCCTAGAGGAGGTGAGGACCTAGAGGAGATGAGGACCTAGAGGAGATGAGGACCCCCCTAGAGGAGGTGAGGACCTAGAGGAGATGAGGACCCCCCTAGGAGGTGAGGACCCCCCTAGAGGAGGTGAGGACCTAGAGGAGATGAGGACCCCCCTAGAGGAGGTGAGGACCCCCCTAGAGGAGGTGAGGACCTAGAGGAGATGAGGACCCCCCTAGAGGAGGTGAGGACCCCCCTAGAGGAGGTGAGGACCTAGAGGAGGTGAGGACCCCCCTAGAGGAGGTGAGGACCCCCCTAGAGGAGGTGAGGACCTAGAGGAGGTGAGGATGTACAGGATCCTTACACACTATCTAATGCACAAGGGAAATAGATGCTGTAGCGAAAACATGAGAATCAATTAGAGGATTATATGAAACATTATAAATACCAGCATTACAACTCTTATTTAGATTCATGCAGAAACACACAGTAACGCAGCGTCCACACGGCGGCGTGCGTTGAAGCTTGCCGGTGGGCGTGTCTGAAACTCGACCAACAACCAATCACATGCATCTCCCGCCCCGGACACACAAGGAAGCGGTTTGATTGGCTAGAGCTTCCGGCGAAGCTTCAAAAGTTGAACATTGCTCAACTTTTGAAGCGAGCCACGCCAGCAAAGCGACGGAACCACAATGCAGTTCGGCAAAGCGTGATGTCACCCCATTCAAAGTGAATGGGCAGAAGCGTCAAAGCTTCAACGCACGCCACCGTGTGGACGGGCCGTAAGAGTGCAGGCATGTTGTATACAAATGCATGTAGTACCGAAGAGTGCATCAGACATTGAGTAAGGAGAGGATCAGAACGTGTGAGACTCACGTCTTTAGCCACCAGTCCTTCCAGAGCATCCAGCTGGCACTTGGACAGCAGTCTGGAAACATGTGAGAAGGCCTGCAAGAGTAAACAAAGACATTTAGGAAATCAAAAGATGCTGAAAAACAGATTCATACCTTCACTTCCTCAGCCCATTCCAATCACTACAGCTCTGTGATCATGTGCTCTGTGAGGCCTTGAGAAACAGCCGCAATCACCACACAGATGTATAAAACACACTACCGACAGATACCTGGGAAACCACTTTAAGGTTAAAGGTCCCATGTCATGGCCATTTCTACTGATCATAATTCCATTGGTGAGGTCTACTAGAATAGCCAACACAGCACCCAGACCCCACGAAGCATTCTCATCTGCTTGTCATTACTGGTGTCCTTTTCTGATTGCTAACAAACGCCATTGTAACACATAAGAGCACAGTGGGCTCAGAGGGAGAGGGAGAGAGGGAGAGAGGGGGGGGGGGGGGGCGTCGGCTCCAACAAGCCATGTAGGACAGAGAGTGAATACACATACTATACAGAGATGCTGTATGTAAAACCAATGTGAGTTTGGAACATTGCACAATGTACATTTATTCTAGTAGACCTCAACAATGGAATAGGATCAGTAGAAATGGCCATGACATGAGACCTTTAAAGTGTTCTCAAAGCTGGTGAAGGTGCAGCTAGTTTGAAGGACTTTGTATTCTGCAGGGTAGCTTGTGGATTTACTCCAGGTGGAACTAAAGTCTGATTCAACACTTGATTATATTTCACATCATTCATCCACATCTGTGAAGTAACTAAAGGTATTAAATACATGTAGTGGAGTCAAAGTACACACTTGTTCTCTCATTTGCAGTGAAGTAGAAGTACAGAGTAGCATAACAGGGAAATACCGAGGTGCAGTACTTGAGAGAATGTACTTAGTGACTTTACATCACGGATTGTATAAAAGGATCATCTCAAATGGATGTCATTACTTCAGCCCCATCTCTTCTCACGGGTTTACCTGCTTGGCTCCCTCTGAGAACTCTTCGATCCTGAACTCTTTATCAAAGTAGGCTCGGATCAGGAAGTAGTACATCCGGGTTCGGAACCAGATGAAGGGGTTCGGGATGCCGAACACCACCACCTTCTGGTTCTGGTTCTGCTGCCCGCCGGCGGCCGAGCTGAACGGCCGCTGCGCGGGAAGGGGGGGCAGCCGCGGTCTCCCACCCCGGTTCAGGACGGGACTCTCATTCAAAAACAGACGAGTACATTTCAGTGTTGATGAAACCCTGTGACACCCTCTCAGCACGGGCAGCGCCATCTTTGTGCCCCCGGGAGCCTTCTTGTCCGTGCCGTTGCATCTTCCGGTGAGGAACAAATTGCCAATATAAAAATACAGACAATAATCAAATCCAAATTCTGATAATATCCACAATGTAACACCTTGTTGTATGTATGTATGTATGATGTGATATTGTTTGTTTTTGGAGTCAACTCTTTAGTCATGTTTGGTTTATTTGGGGAAGAGTAACGATGTGACACCGTTTCCCTCAGGAGCTGTTTACTTCCAGCAGCTGTGGGTTGCGGTCGGATAATCCAAAAATCAGCTCCTAACGTCTAACCCTATCTCCTATTCCTTGACCTCTGAGTGAAACGTCACGGGGTTAAGGGATAGTGGATAGGAGAATTCAAAAGGACTTAGGAGAAGAGACTGCGGTACTTTAGAGAATCGACTGCACTTTCACTATCCGACGTGTTTATGATGCGCCAGCGGACGTCATGAATGTGCGTCTGCTGCTGTGGGGAAACTATGGAAACTACAGTTTTCTATACAGCGGACTACAACATGGATGTTTAATAAGAACGAGGGACTACTGTAAACTCATCTAGAGACTCTGCACCGTGCTCTGATGCTGTTGCTTTATGCTTTATGAACGGGGACAACAGAGAAACATATTCTTCATGACCAAAGTTGGAATTGAAATAAAAAAGGAAAGTTAAACTTATGCTCGTCACCCTCTCCCTCCGGTCCACATTAATACAAATGATCCCAATACGTATGATTGTATGAAAAGATCTTAAAATCAATACAAATGTATTTATTATAAACGTTAGTCCTTAACATCTATCACTGTGTATATCACCATTCAAACATCTTTTAAAAGTTGAACAAACTCCACACAGCTCAGTAAAGACTGTGAGATGTTGACTTTATTTGATCATTTCAGTAAAAACTAACGTTCATATTTCTCTTTTTGATTATAATACTGATGAACGTTCAAAACAAAGCACTTTGGCAACTTACCACATACGTTTTAAAATGCTTAATAAGCACCGTAACTTTCATGATATCATTTCTCGGTCATAATCGGTTGTTTCCGTGAACGGCCGACTGTTGAGTGACGGCAAATGCTGCGGCTGCAATGCATTGTGGGGCAGCATTTTCTCCTCTCCTTTCGGTTAGGGAGGTCCAGTGGTTCCTAAGCTAAAGGAGGTTATATAAAGGAAGTTTGAAACCTCCTTTCCTTTCATTTGGAGAATTGGAACGGCACTTATCATGGCTGCCAGTGACGTACTTCCGGGTCATTTCACTCCGTTAGGAAGGTTCCTAAGCTAAATGGACTATTGGAATGCAACCCTGCTCTTCATCCCCGGTGAGGAAGAGCAGGTACACTGTTCACAATAAGCAGACATGTTAGTCATCCCACCTCCTTATCTTCCATCCCACTGGCAGGACGTTTCTTTTACCTTTCAAACCAAGTTCAGGAAATAGTAGCTCCCAGATCCTGGAGAAAGTGACTGAAGGACAGTAGTGCTTAACATGGGACAATACATTGAATGAAAACTAAGATGGAAAATAAAATACAAATAAAGTTTGAAAAACATAAAATGCATATCACGATTGATATAAAAACCCATTGAACATAAATGATAAAACATTAAGAACACATAGATTATATAGCATCACAAAAACAAATGCCCATAATAATGACAATAGATCATGTTTAATAATGCAATGAAAACATATCAAAACCACAAATGATAAAAGTTGAAACTAGAGTCTATTGGTAAAACAGGAAGTGTTTCATGCGGTTAATGTTGCATACGTCTTCGGCCATTTGCCAATCTTTATTACCCAGATGCTGCCCCCCCCCTCCCCTCTGACCAGAGGTGCTTCCGAGGCCCTTTGTAATGACTCTACAAATGGATCCGCCCAGTGAGTGGGAAACCATGAATCACAAGACATTCAAACCATCTTTTCAAAAATAAAATAAAGTTCATTTTAAAAAGTGTGATTTAGTTTTTCCATGTCTATAGCATTACTACTGCGAGATGTTGATGCCTTTCATTGTTGTACGTTTTTGTTGCAAACTATTTAAATGTTCCACTTAATGAGTTATATTTGATGTATAAACGGATCACTATAGCAGTTTTTGGAAATGTGTCATAATATGTGAAACCTCTTGTTCTAACATTCAAACTTATTTGTGACTTGAGAAAGTGAGCGAATATGTTTCCTTCACACAGTGTCAGCAACACGCTGCTGTACTCTGACACTGTGTGAAGGAAAGGCTGAGAGTCAGCTCAGGGTTTCTCTCTCCTTCCTGAGCTACTGCATTCTCAAAGGTCCACAATAAAGGGTTAGCTTCGCTCAGGCTGAAACAACCACAGTACAAAGGAGAAGTCCAGGACTTAAATGCACGTGTGCAGATACCAATATGGTTTGAACCTTTATTGCACAAAGACTACAGTTCTTTATGTTTCCTTACAAACATCTGAAAGCTTTGTAAACAGTGAAGCAGCGTCTGTCTCCCCGATGTGTTCAGGGCCTCCAGGTAACCCCGGGTCACACTTCCTCACATAGTCTCAAAGTGTGTGACGGAGGCCAAGCAGTGAGCGGCTGTGAAGCAGAGAGGAGGGGGGGCTGGGTCTCACATGTGAGTCTGCTGCCTGCACAAAGAACTACAACCGAAACATTTCTGAGCGTGGGGGTTAGAAACATTTTCTTTTCAAACCGTTTCATCCATGTTATCACAAGTGACAAACACACCTAAACATTTACATCTTTAAAAATAGTTTGGCTTTGGATGCAAATGAGGAAAAATACACTTAAAGTTGCCCTTTCATTCACGACACACGCAAAGCACTCGTGTCTCTCCGCAGGCAGATCCTGGACACTCTGAGAGAGAGAGAGAGAGCAGCTTTAGTCTCTCGCTCCACTGGACATCATAGAGGGTCTGTCCAAGTCCTCATGCTCTGTGTGAGTGTGTGCAACACTACAAAGAGTTCTCATCACACACAAGACAGACAAAGAAATGGCACGTAGCTGGTTGGTGTTTCTATTCTGGGAGTAAGATAACTAACATTTGTTTTGGTTCTTTTTCTTAAAGGTCGCTACCAGGCAGACGACAGGATGCAGGGTGACTCTTCTCCAACATGGAGGGGGTGGATGTGCTCTATGGAGTCTGTGCCATGCCACGAGTAGACTTCATCTTCTCCAGGCGTTTAGACAGGTGGCTGTTGTTGGACTCCACTTCATCCACCTTGTCCAGTGCTGAGCGCAGCTGTAAACACAGGGGGGGGGGGGGGGGGGGGGGGGGGGGGGGGGGATTATCATTTTTTGTTTTACAACTTTGATGACATGTTCAATATGTTGACGTGTTAAATGTTTTTACAGAGGGGATTTTGGATCTCTTTGTATCAGTTCATATATCAGAAAATACTGTCAAACCGGCAAAGTATCCACTTTCTCCAAGTTTTAAGAAATAAAAAGCTCTATAAAACATGTTCTAAATGAAATATGCTAAGGCTGTGGTGTCTTTCAGGCCATCCATAGGAGCAATGAATTCAGGCAGCAGCTGATAGCTAGCAGACAAATAACTAGAGTGACCTTCAGGTAACAGAAGAGGGAGAGAACTCTGGAGACAGAGTTTGGCTCGTCCGGGCTAGTGTAGAAACACGGTGGTGCATCTCAGCAGACTAAAGACTTTGGGGTGACTTTACACCAATGACAACACAGCTATGATGAATACTTGATTCTATTTCTGATAATATATCCCCCTTCATGCTAAATGCTCCACACTGGCCCTTTAAGAACTCCTCTGTACCTCTCTCTGGAGTTTCCTCTTCTCTGCCTTCAGCTCATCCTCCACCTTCTCTGCGTTCTCTGATGCTGACTTGTAGCGCGTCACCTGACCCTCCAGCCTGGTCACCTGGAGAAAAATATAGCCTTGTTGGAGAGAATATGCATGTATCAGGTATGCTCCGAGGTCATCGTTCTTCTCAGCTTACATTCTGTTCTAAAGCGGTGACTTCCTGCTCTGCCTTCACCAGTTTGAACTTGAAGTCGCTTATTTGCCTGTTTGAATCTCCTGGAAGGATTAAACAGATATGTATGAGTGGTTGGAGAGGGAATACATAGCAATATTGTGTTATCATGCACATGTGTACTCACGCTGCAGCTCCATTATGTTCGGGTCGTTGCCGTTTTCAAGTATTTCTCCATCCGGGCTCAAAGTGTTCTCGGTGCCGTTCCTCGGGGTCTTCTGCTCCAGCTGGGCCTTCAGCTTCTTCACCTGCAGAGGAGACACACTCATCAGCTGATGCATGACACAAGACCCACTTACCAGCTGTCAGTTTCTGAGTCTACAAGATTGTCAACACTGTAATGCCAGCCACCTCACCCCTTTTAGTTGGTCACTGGATCATACTATCATACTACTTTCTCTCAGGGTGTACATTTGGTGTGCTTATGTATATGTACATCAGCAGGACAGTGTATATGGGATCAAATCAACATAAACGTCATCTGTTTATGGCAATGAAGGAGCATGTGGTGCATTGATGTGTTGATGGACAACAATGGTGCTCTATAGGGGCGTTCACACCAAGTTCTTTTCCCACAATAGTTCATGAGAACTCTTTTAGTTCTGATGAACTCAAGTAGATCGCGTTCACACCGGAATGAGTCCCTGGGAGAGGATCATAGACTGTATATAAAGGAGGATTAGGCAAATGAGCCGCTGACGTCACTTCTTCTTCTGCTGCTTTGGGTTTACTGGCAGGCCGCAAACAACTTCACGGCGTATACTGCCACCCCAAGTCCCCGGCCGGAAGTCCCCGGAGTTGGGGACTGGCTTCAGTAGAAGCTGCTGGGACTCCCAGCAGCTTCTACTGAAGCCTTCCGAGTAAATCGCCAGAACGCCAACACCTCGTGTTGCCATAAGTTAGTCTCTTTGCGTTTCTGCGCTGGGCTAATGCTAATAATGCTAATGCGAGGATAATAAAATGGCGGCTTCACAAAACTTTTTTGGAGTTTTACGGGGCGTGGTTTGCAATCCGCCCAGCCAATCAGACATAGGAACCTTTTTCTCCCACGAAAGCCCCTGCTCTGTAGCAGGGACGGAAAAGGGGGTGAAAAGGTTCTGATGAACTAATTTAGTTCAGGGGGCTTTTTGGTGTGAACGCAAATATATCTGAGTTCTGATGAACTATTGTGGGAAAAGTACTCCGGTGTGAACGCGCCTTATGGCAGAAAGGAAACGGAAACACACACCAAGTGTAAGTAGAATCAGTTCCTTGTTGGTTTTGAGCTCATTGGTGTGATTTGATTTGTTGGTAATGAGAACATTTATAAGAAGGCATTTGTAGATTTCACACTAAAAATCAGTTTCACAAATAAATGTTAGACTGTACGCATTTCAATGGGACCAACATGTTGCCACTGTCTTTCAACTATTTGTAGAGACTTTAATCTACTGTAGTTTTTCGGGTCCCCCAGGGGTCAGTACTGGGTCCACTCCTGTTATTCATCTTCCTCCTTCCCCTGGCTCCTGGTGAGCAGCATACTGCCAATCATTCTGTGAAGGTTGCTGCTCTTATCCTCATGTGTCTGCTTCCAAATGTCCCTTTTTTGCTGTTATCTGTTCAAGTATTTATTTGATGAATTGTAACATGTAATTGTGTCCTGAAAGACGCTTACAAATAAAATGTATTATTGTTATTATCAGTCGTGGAATGTAACTAAGTACATTAACTCAAGTACTGTACTTAAGTAAAAAATGTAGGTACTTGTTATTTAATCAAGTATTGTACATTATCCTACTTGATACTTTTACTCCACTACATTATGTAGGAACATGCTGAATTCTTTTCTCACTACATTTATTTAACCATAATAGTTACTTACTACTTTGCATATTTAGATCATTAATACAAAATAAAAAACAACAAATGCATTATTATTATAATATGCATTATTACTTAATATTATGAAGTTACCCAGTAGTATATAAACTAATTTTAATAAACCCTTAACTAAATTCCTTTAACTTACTGCAAAACTGTTGTGATGAACACATCAATAATTCAATATAAATGATGCTTAAATGGCCCATTCCCCATAATGAATACTTTTACTTTCGGTACTTAAAGTACACTGTGATGCTTATACATGCACTTTTACTTAAGTACATTTAGCATGTAAGACTTTTACTTGAATTTAGGTACTCTTACAATGTAGTATTGCTACTTTTTACTTAAGCAAATAAGTATTTCCTCCATCTCTGGTTATTATGTGTTATTGTAGGTGGTCTGTTCGAAGTGGATCTTCTTCTTTGAGTGAGGGACTTGGTTTTTTGCTTCTGGTTTAAAAAAAAGTGTTCCCATTGAAACTAAGTTCAAACAGGAGAAACATTTAGAGCCACAGCGCTGCCACAGACCCACCTGCTCGATCATCTTCTCACGCTCATCCACCAGCTTCCTCAGGCGGATCTCTGCAACGGAACACATGTTGAAGATTTTATATCAAAACATGGATTACACAACTTTTATTTCAAATGGAACGTTAGCGTCACACAGCCAGACTACAACATCACTTCAGACCACAATATCAACTGTTAGGATCCATCTTCAGAAAACAAAGGAAGTCAACATACCAGGGGTGGGAGGAGCCAAGGAGATGGTGGGGGGGGGGGGGGGGGGGGCGGGGTCAGGGTGAGAGGTTGATGCATGCAACAGTGCAGCATCCATGGGGGAGTGACGGAGCGAGTGTGTGGGTGGGGGTTAGCATGCACATACTGTGGAGTAGAAGGTCAATGCAACAGCACACAGATGGCCACAGTCACACTATGAGCACATTATAAGATAAAATAAAAAATGGACATCCAAGTATAGTTACTAATATTTTTCATATTGTCAGTAAAGTCATTGTCCTACAAAATGCATAAAAATCATGTTTTAAATTGGTAACAGCAGGGTATTTATTGGCATATCAGAAAGGGCATTCATCTTCTCCATTTAGTGCAACACATTGCAAACATATTTATGATACATTGTTCATTCATGTAGATGGAAATAGCTGTCTTCAAGTTGTATTAATCCCTAAGAACAGAACAGGGGAACACAGTTAAAGTGTGACCATCCAGAAGATACTTTCCTAAAATAACCAGCTAACATCTGTGTTTTTATTGTTCCCCTATGGAATGAAGACATGCTTGGGTTTCTGGAACAGTACCGGATGAAGTGATGTGTGATACAGGGGCACAGCAAAATGAACCATTAAACATAACAAGCAGCATGATAGCTGTTAACTAAATAATGTTGCCTGATGTATCAAGTGCAGTATTTAGCGACAGTAGATCTACGGTTACACAGCAGTTTACAGTCTCACCTCTCCACACACTTTGTTTTGCACACATGACCTCAAAGAAAACGTTGGTCTGTTTAATTAAAAATAAAACTTACAATATTTGTTTGGAAACAGACAAAATGCTGTAATGTTCTGCAAACATGTACTTTGTAAACAGCTAAGCAGAGACTACTATAGGGCAGATCCATGGTACATTTTCATAATACATACCATCTATAAGCTAAGACATCTTGCACTCCTCTTTGCCCTTGCCTTTGCCTTTCTTGCTGTTCTTCCTCACATCCTTCCCTGCCTGCTGGGGCTCTGTATTGCTGCCCACTTGTTCTGAACTCTTTGGTAAATCCACATGTTCCCCCTGGACCTGCTTAATGGCTTCTAACCCTTCCTCTACAGGCAGGGACACCGCCTGCTGAACGTCCTCTGCAACACCCCCCACCTCTCCAACACTCTGAACCTTTGCTTCCTCTGCAATGCCCCTGGGCTCGTTTGTTACACTTACTTCCTCCTTTTCCAACAAATATTCCCCTTTTTCCAAAGTGCCATCCTCCTGAGCCGAACAGTTTTGTGGCGGAGTCTGGACGCCTGAGCTGCCGCTTTCATCTGGAACAACTTCAACTCCCTCCTCCACTTCTTCTTCCGGTTGGGGATTCCTATGGCGACTTTCACCTTCAGCTGGCTCCAAATCCATGTCATCAAAATCAAAAGAATGACCTTCATCCTTTTCACCGTCCTCTTCATCGCACACCTGCAGTGTTAGCTGAGATGGAATGTCTTCCATGGGTTCATGCAGTTGATGTGTCTTGCTTTGCTGATCATTTGGATTGTTATTATGCTCTGGATCTCCTGCCATGGTGAATTCTTCAGATCTGTGATCCTGCTCCATAGTCGACCCATTTTCAGGAGCTTCTTTTGGAACATCTGGTGTATTTACTGTCTCAGTGGTATTGATCTCTGATTCAGGGGTCAGGTCAGCATTGGATTTGTCAACGTGAACCTCACATTGTGCCGTCTGGCTTTCTACATCATCCAGCTGTTCTGCTTGCACTACAGTCTCCAACAGACTCTGAACAGTGTCGATTGCATCCATGTTTGTTACAAATGATGGACTGCTTAGACTTTCTTTCTTTTGGTCATGTAATGGGTCTGTTTGGACTAAACCTTCAGATTCGCACAAGCCTCTGTTCAGCTCTGCCTCATCATTACTGGGAAACAGGACACTGGGAGATGCGTGTGGTTTGTCTTGTTCAGTCTGTATTCCTGGGTCCTCATCATCTTTGATTGTCTCAGTAACGTCTTCTGGACTTCCATCAGAGACCTTGTCCTCGCTGGCCGAGTTCACGCCTGCAGACAGCTCGAAGCCAGACGAGCTCCTGAGAGAGTCAGTAAAGCCATTGGTAGAAGATGGGGACACGGATGTTTTATCATTACTCTCAGCTTTGCTTGTGGGTTTAGGTTCCTCAGCAGCCATGTCACCATTGATTGGATTGTGCGATCCAGCTTCGGCGTTTTCCTTGACGATGCTTTCAAACGTGTTTTCTGGGATATTAGGTGTGCATTCTGATTTCATCTCGTCAATAGGCCTAACCCTATTCTCCGCACTATTAACAATTTCTGACTCAGCCTGGATGACACTGTCATTAGTTGAGATGTCACTTTTAGAGGCATCTACGCAGGAAGTGCACTCTTTGTTAAGATCATCGGGGCTCTCAGTACCGAGGTTGGTCTCTGGGACAGATCCCACTTCTTCTACTCTCTGTGTTTCTAAAGGTTGTTCCTGCTCGTCCTTGGAGATGGAATCTGCTCTGGATTCCTTGAGAGTTTCAACGTGAGAAAAGGTTTCAGCGGGTGCCACTGCCTCTGCTGCTTTTACGGTTTCCAAGCACTGTTCCTTGTTCTGTTCATCTGTAACATGATCCAGCCTCACTTCTGCAGGGGTTGTGACGTGAGAAAATGTTTCAGTAGTTGCTTCTTCTACCTTCTCCATTTCTAAAGTGTGTTCCTTGTCACACTCATCTGTAACATGATCCCTTCTTGAATCTCTTTGAGTGTCATTGGGAGAAAGGCTTTCAACAGGTTCCACTTCTTCTACTTGTTGCCTGTCCTGCACATTCTTTACTTGATGCATCCCTGATTCTTCGAGGGCTTCAGCGACAGAACTAAGAATTTCAGGTTCTGCCGTTAGCTCATTATCTTTTGTAGCCAATTCAATTTTCACCTCTGTTTTGCCCTTTTCTTTATTTGCTCCATCCCTTTGTTGGTTCCCATCTCCCATCCCTTTCTTTTTACCTTTCCTCTTCCTTTTCTTCTTTTTCCCTGGAGCAGCAGCGCCCTGAGGCTGAGAGTTACCTGATATATCCTTAGTTTCTATGTGCTCTGCCTCTTCAGAGTTCTCCGGCTCTGGTTGAGCTTCTGTCTTTGACTCAACTGGTACGGACTTCTCTGTCCCAACATCTTGTGCAACCTCTTGCTCAGGACACGATTCTGTATTTCTCAGATGACGTTCCTCAACATCTTCCTGTTTGTTTTCTTGCTCTTTCAATAGGTTGTTGGATGACTCTCTAATGTCATCACTTTGTGTGTCTACACTATTGATTTGGCTTCCTGTCTGCCCTGAATCTAGGTTATTGGTCCATCCTAACTCTTTGCCCTCAGGCATTACTGTTTCTGTGACACTTTCCTCAGAACTTGTGACAATGCCCTGAAGGTCAGGGCTACAAATGATTATATCTTTGGACTCTGTGACCGACTGGTCATTAATGTCAACATTCAAGTCCTTCCTAAGGCCAGGTTCTTCAACATCATCTTCTTCTGTGGCATTCTGTTGTCCTTGTGTTGGCTGTTCCTCCCCAGATGCTTGCATAGTGCACACACCAGAAACATTACAGAGTTCTTCAGAGCTAAAGAGATTCTCTTTGGCTTCCTCAAAATGTTCTCGTTGCTGCTCTGGATCCACCTCTTCCTCCTCGCTACTTCTCAACAGTGTCTCCTCTGTGTTGCCTGAGAGTTAATGAAGAGTATACGGTGAAGTAAAACATTATTTTTGAAATGTAATCTTCATGAGGAAGTGCATGAGCAGAAGTCAATGTAAGGCAGAACGCCTGATTGATTCAAGAAGAGAAGCACAGAGCCAAGGTGGCCAAGAGGAGCGGAGAAGAGAAGAGGCAGGAGGAACACCGAAATGAAGACCTTGATCCCCAGCACATCAATGCAACAAGAAAAGAAGTCTGAAGCCAACAGATCAGGGAATACAGTACAGCAGATACATAAGTATGTTCCTTACATATACTTTTAGCTAAAAAGAGCTCTTAAATGATTTCGACCATCAGCCCTTTAGTCCTTGCAGAAATGACACACCTACACCACCTGCATTAACAGATGAGTTGTGACTCAGAAGAATATGCATTAGCTGAGAAAATAAGGTGCAGCAGAAACGATTAAAAGCAAAGACATTAGTAATAATGACAAAACAGGGTGTTGCCAAGTTAGTGAGTGGAAGGTTAGTTTGTACAGGAAAGCATGAGGTCAGACAGATGATGTTTGAAGGGTACGTCTGGCAATTCTCTATAAATGTTTTCTTGATAAACAGACTATATAAAGTTAAATAATCAATGAGTCCATCTCTCACTGCTTACAAGGCCAATGGCTCCTTATAGAGACATACCAAGCACAATGATGTTCTAATACGGCCAGTCTCTGTAGTGTTTAGCAACTCAAATATACTCACACTGGACCTAATGGTACTATTTTCAGCTGCAGACTCATACACATGTGGTGCTCTACTAGGTATTTACATGTTCAGGAATGACTCGTTGATGGTTTTGAACATTTGAGGTAGGAGATATATCAGGCTGACACAGTCCAGTAGGATCAAGTCGTTGCTGATCTGGTATTTACAATGACAGAAACAATGTCCGTTTAGTAGTTCAGAAGTAACACTTTCTCAGCAGACTTCTTCCATGGTAGGTGGAAACACATCTCTATTATTCTGAGCAATAGTGTAGCAATAGTTGAGAATACAAGTTTCAGAACAGAGTTGAATTTGGAGGTGAGATTCTCTTATCCGTCTTTTCTCAGGTTCATGTGAGGAAAGGAAAACACAGAATATTACCAGACGTCTCCTTTCAGGACATAGCACATGAGAGTTAAAGCACTTGACATTCCAGCAGCACAGCACTGTACCTGAAGAGCTCACTCACAAGTATTCAGATATAAATTGTGTCATCTTGGTATTCATTGTTTCATTATTGTTTTTTATCACTCTTTAGACAGTTTTGTGCCGTGCCATGCAGTGAGCAGTTTTTATTGGGTAGTGTGTTTTACCGAGCATGCTGTTCCTCTCTGTTGGGGGGGTCTGACAATCCTGAGCCAGGGGGGAAGCAGGGTCTGCACCGGGGGTCCCGTCAGCTTCTGTCTCACCAACTTCTCCATTGATGCTTTGATCAGGTCCCAATACTATACCATGTTTCTAGAAAAAAGGAAAAGTCAAACATGAGCTCCGTACATTACACACCTTCAGCCTGAGCGGAGTGACACCTTCAACACATCTGCACTAGTCATTATTTTCTGCCTTGAATGAACAACATTTACATGTAAACCTTTAGTTTCTGCAACAACAATTGCAAAATGTTTCAAAAGAGTTTTGAAATGTGCTTCCCAGAATGTGGACACATGAAGCGGAATAAGCCCTCTCACACGGAGTACCTTCAGAATGTCTTTCAGGTTCACCACCTCCTCTCTGAGCTCATCTCGCTCCATCCGGATTGCATCTGAGTATTCTTTCTGTCGCTCTAAGGCCTGAGCGGAGCGCCAGGTGGCAGAGTGTCAAAGAAAGTGAAGAAGGAAAAGTGCACAAGAGGTGGAAAGAAGTGAAAGTAAAAGCTGACATTAAGTTGAATGCAAAGGAAATGCTGAATTCATGTTGGCAGAAATAAATGCTGAGTGTGTCAAACACAGAGCTGCTAGACCAGGGCTCATAGGCCGTACCCCAATCTTTTTATCCTTCCACTCCACTGTCTCCTGCAGGTCACATATTTCTCTATTCAAACCTTCCTGTTTGATATGCAGCTGACGGATGTCCTAAACAGCAGGGAAAGGAAATCAGGTTTCAGATGCAGACAGAGAAAGCTGAAAAAGGATTCATGCATATACAGTGTGGGGAAAAAGAGCAAGCTGTGAAATGTTCCACGTGCAGCCGTTCTGCGGGACTAACGGAGTAAAAGACAGCCGTTCTTTTTCTGTCTTTCTGACCCAATGGAAGGTTCCATTTCACTTGTCTTAGTGACACACAGATACTCACATTGAGCAGCTCTTCACTTTGTTTTAGCGTCTCTTTCATTTCATTGAACTGGAACTGGAGCACAGTGTGGGCATGTTTCTCTCGCTCACATTCCTGTGAGGAAGAAGAGAAGAGAATCCATCTGAACACAGAAACACATGAAGCCCTGAAACCTGACAGGGGAGATGTTGAATCACTGTCGAGTGTGCTGAGAGTTGCGTTATGATGTAGCACATGAAGCAGTAACTGTTTGATCCAAAATGAGCTGAGTCAGCTACATCTTGAGTAAGCTCTACTCTGCTGTAATTCCACTGGTGGAAAGTAACTAAGTACATTTACTTGAGTACTGTACTCGGCCACTTTATATTTCTATTCCACTACATTTTACAAGCAAATATTGTACCTTTCTACTCACCACATTTACTTGGAAAAATGTGTTACTAGTTACTTTTGCAGGTAACATTTATTAATACGAAAATAAAAACATGAATTCACTTAAATGTACTGTTATGGATGGAGATTTCTGTATGCAGAGCTTTTACTTGTAACTGAGTATTTATACACTGCAGTATTATTACTTTGACTAAACTTTAGGATCCTAGTACTTCTCCCACCCGTGTAATTCCATCAAAAATAACACTCCCGTATACTGAATCCTTGTACAGCTTCACCATATTAACGACACCGCAAAGGAGGTTTTGTTTTCAGGTTTGTCTGTCAGCAGGAATACTGAACATTGACTGAACATTGTCTGGGCATGTCTTCATGAAACTAGGAGGAAGAGAGAACCATGGAAGAACATGTTAAAAGTGTGCAGCAGAACTGAATCACACAATTTTTCTCACTGATGGTCAGGGTCTTGGTCAGGTCTGTGCTAGTTTCCATTGAGGAAGAAAGGAGGTATCCCACTATTTCACATGTACTTTATGTTAGAGAAAAGCAGTGTTAAGTGTGCCTGCCGTACCTTGACTTTGTCCTCGAAGCCGCGGCGGGACTCAGACAGCAGCTCCTCCAGCTCCATGAGCGAGTCCTTCAGCGTGTCCACCTGGTACATCAGGTTGTTCTTCTCATTGTCCAGCTGAGCGTTGGACACCATGGCCTTACGGTACTTCTCCTCCACTCCTACTAATGCATCCTAATGACATATAGACAACCGGAGAATATTACACATGCTGGCCTTAAAATGGCCCTTTTCTCTTCCCTTCTTTGAGACCAACTTCTATGTCAAATATAACATTTAAAATAGGCTTTTTATTTACTGTTTTACTTAGAGTTATAACAATTACAGAGTTGAATTTTTTGAAGTTAATTGTATTATCTTTAGTACAAATAAAATGTTTATGTATAACTTAGGTCAAGTTTTTTTTTTAAATATAGTTAGATCAAGAGGTTCATAGAATTTTTTTTAATTGATTTCTATTGTTTTCAAAGTTATAGCCCACCGTTGAGCACTGCCCGAAAGCAACAAATAGAACATGTAATAAGAGACGTACCTTTGATTCGAGTTAAAAACAAACAGAAAACGGAATTGCCTATAAGCTGTATACTTATCTGTATCTCACAACTGTCAACCACTCGTGAAGAAGTACAGGCAAACACAAACAAACAACAAACAAAACCACACATGAAAGACATGCAACAACATCCGGTTAATCAAGGTTAAAGGTGGGGTAGGTCATTTTGGAGAAACCAGCTCGAGTGAGCTAGAATTTGAAAATACACAACCGGAAAGAATCTGCCACTTCCTCACAGAGCCCCTCCTCCAACACACAGGAACGCACACATGACCAATGAGGGCACGGGATAAGTTTGTGCACAGATGGAAGGCTGACAGGCAGGTAGGCCATCCAGTTACTTTAGCCGGGCCGGCTCAGATGATTGGTCGTGCTTTTTACAGCGCCACGGCTTCCACAGATGACTTTTTTAATGTATTTATTGTCAAAGCACTTAAGATATTCATTGCTATCGGATGTTAAGAGCATTCCATGCAATATAACAAGTGTTTCTGAAGTCAATTACATACCCCACCTTTAAGTGATTTCAGTATATCTTCGTGCCATTTTGAGAGTATTAATGTTCTAATGATTATTGGGATCAAATCATGAATCCCAAGGATTTTGGCCAGGAAAATGGTGACATGAAGCTTTCCTATGGTCACAGTCTTATTGTAGAGCGTGAATATTGCTCCTAAATTACCCCTTCACTAAAATACTATTTTTTTCAACTTCAAGAGCCTTCAGCTTTTTTATTAAAATGTTGGTAGATGAAAAGGCCATGGGTCATATAACAGTCATTTGGTTGCACATATCACCGCACGTCTAAAATGATTAGTGGGAGTTAGGACATCAACGGCTCAGTTAATAGTGAGTGGGGTTGGGGTAGGGGTGTCACAGGCTGATACCTTGACTTCTTTCAGGTTCTGCATGTACTTGCTCTCCACATCTTGAATCTGATCCTTGAGTTCATGGATCTCCTGGTGTATTGCAGCAGTGAGCGAGGATGAGTGACAGCAGAGAGGAGAACAGAGTCCAGAGGGGGGCAGCAGAGAGGAGGACAGAGTCCAGAGGGGGGCAGCAGAGAGGAGAACAGAGTCCAGAGGGGGGGCAGCAGAGAGGAGGACAGAGTCCAGAGGGGGGCAGCAGAGAGGAGGACAGAGTCCAGAGGGGGGCAGCAGAGAGGAGGACAGAGTCCAGAGGGGGGCAGCAGAGAGGAGGACAGAGTCCAGAGGGGGGGCAGCAGAGAGGAGGACAGAGTCCAGAGGGGGGGGCAGCAGAGAGGAGGACAGAGTCCAGAGGGGGGGGCAGCAGAGAGGAGGACAGAGGTCCAGAGGGGGGGGGCAGCAGAGAGGAGGACAGAGTCCAGAGGGGGGGGGCAGCAGAGAGGAGGACAGAGTCCAGAGGGGGGGCAGCAGAGAGGAGGACAGAGTCCAGAGGGGGGCAGGCAGAGCAGGAGGACAAGAGATGACAGTCCAGAGGGGGGCAGCAGAGAGGAGGACAGAGTCCAGAGGGGGGCAGCAGAGAGAGGACAGAGTCCAGAGGGGGGCAGCAGAGAGGAGGACAGAGTCCAGAGGGGGGGCAGCAGAGAGGAGGACAGAGTCCAGAGGGGGGGCAGCAGAGAGGAGGACAGAGTCCAGAGGGGGGGGCAGCAGAGAGGAGGACAGAGTCCAGAGGGGGCAGCAGAGAGAGGACATAGTCCAGAGGGGGGGCAGCAGAGAGGAGGACAGAGTCCAGAGGGGGGGCAGCAGAGAGGAGGACGAGTCCAGAGGGGGGGGGCAGCAGAGAGGAGGACAGAGTCCAGAGGGGGGGCAGCAGAGAGGAGGACAGAGTCCAGAGGGGGGGCAGCAGAGAGGAGGACAGAGTCCAGAGGGGGGCAGCAGAGAGGAGGACAGAGTCCAGAGGGGGGCAGAACATCAGCACCAGTGTTTTCAGGGAGAATGGGAAAAGCATGACAGCTGGGAACTTTATGGAAGAACTTTTTACATCAGAGAAAATGAAAGTGAGTGTGTGAGTTGCATATCCCTTTCAATATGAAATTGAAACACCCAGTTTGGACACATGCCCCTGATGTCTTCTGGTCTGGGGGGATACATTACTATTACTCTCTACAGTGACAGTCTCAGTATCAGTTTGACAGTAAGAGCTGCAACTTACAATTATTTACATAAGCAATTAATTTCCCCATTTACTTCACAATCCTTTAAAATGATGGTTTGGTTTATTAAATGGCAGAAAATAGTGAAAATGCCCATCCCAGAAAAGTCTCGTTTTGTCAGTATAAACCCTAAACTCTGACAACAGCAGAAACGTTTCTATTATCAAAACAGGACCACAATTCCAAATGCTGAAGTCTTCCATAAGGTTTTAATTATGTTTGGTCCATTAAGGAATTAACAAATAAGTATTGTTCAACATGAAACTGTTTAATGCAATACACACAGTAGATATATTGACATTTGTAAGCGTCATCTGGCCCGCTCTATTTGACTTTACCTTAATTTCCCGTATAGACGTCTCTGCATCTACAGTTATAGCCGTCTCACCACTTCCTCTGCGAGAGGAAGTCCCGCCTAACGAGGTGAGGGTCGCTGCTGTCAGGGCAGAAGCTGCTCGAGATCCCTGAAAAAGAGGGGGAAAAATGCTTAAAGAATGAAAATCTATCTCAAATGACAGCAGCATCATAGATGCACTTGAGAAAAAACATATTAACTGATTATAATCTCAGAATTCTAAAAATGTAATTTCACAAAATGAACCTTTCAGGAGAGCTTCTATTAGGATTGATCAGAATGATAAGAGCAAAAATAATCTAGAAAGAACAAATACAATCCAAACACATTACAAGACCCCCCATCATTATTCTTCTTTATCTGATGTAACTTTATGTATCCTTAGTAAAAACACAGATAGGTCATGTGATCTACTCACCTTCTCAAGATAATCTCTGTCCTCCACCTGTGGAGACAAAAATAAGTCAGACAATGCTCCCTGCAGGGATACCATTCACATCTCGTAAAATAAACCAAACAATACCTCTACATGTTCCAATTTGCTCTTTCACTTGCATTTCCAGAAAAGACAAGTTCACTAAACAACACCATGCATTGTATTAGTACAGGAGGAGACAAAACTCTGTCAGATATCATCCAATCACCAAATGTCTGAGTCTGACAGTGTTCCTTTCAACAACAGATCATGTGTTTCAAACACAGCTCATCTTCAGGTTGTCTCCCTGCCACAGCCACACAGTCAACACACAGATGAACCTGGGACACAGACACAATTAGCCCTCCTTGCAGGGCAAAGTGCACAAGGAGGGAACACGGTTGCAGAAAAAGCAACGAAGCAGGAAGTCAGCTCACATCACGGCGGCGGCCTCCTGCGGGGGCAAAGCCACGCACATCAGAAAGGTCAGGAATAGTGACATCATCCAGGTCTCGGGGGAGGCTGCTGCCGCCCGCTGCACTCCTCAGATAACTGGCCACAGAGCCACAGTGGTCCTGCAAACGTCCACCAGGGGGCACAGAACAATAAATGCACATTTCCAAATTGTGGAAGCCATGCCTCGTCTGAGTCAGTGTAACATCCTCAAAGAATAGTCAAATAAGGTCAGACAATTTGAACATTCAGCAAAACACCACAACTTCTTTATGTGCAAAGCTCTTTAGATAAGATATATTGTACATATTTCTTATAATATTATTGCCATTTGTATTGTAATTTTACCTACTTGTATAATTGTTTCATATTTGTTATGTATTTGTTCTACTTTATATTAATGTTTAAAATGTATACAGCACCATCACATGTTGCACTCAACTGATCTGTGTCTGTTTGTGGTACAGTATATCATGTTCCCATGTGGAACAGTTTATTTAAGCTGGTCATAGACCATGTGGTAACAAAGCACTGATGCTAAGTAAACTCTTGTTGCTACCAGGGTGTCGGGGGGGGGGGGGGGGGGCCTCACCACTGGGCTGGTGCGGGCTGACCCGGCCCTGGAGGAGACCCTGGAGCCGGAGCTGCGACAACTACTGTACTCTACAGGCTGAGAGAGAACACAGCGTTATGTTCCTGTGTACAGCCGTAGGAAACACACACACACGCATGCACAGACCCCCACAGAACCAGAACCATGATGCAGAGTACTGAACACCGTCCACTCAATGTCAAATCTACATACCATTTCATCAAGTCACTGAAAAATCAACACTCCACCCACAAAATATCCCTTTATCGATTACTCACCCCGAGTTACCTTGACATTTGAAAAAAATGCAGCGTTATCTTCTTTGTTATAAAAAGAACACGTGGTGCTAAATTGATATAATAAAAGGTCATTATGATGGGGAAGTATTTATTTAACCTTAAATTCCAACTCCCATGCAGCAGCAACAAATACAATCTGAAACAAATAACTCAAAAATACTGTGACGGTCTTGCTCATGTGAGAAAAGGAAGAACGCTTCACACATGGCCTGGTTTATTATTCCACACATTTTGGTGCCCTAGGGGCGAGATTATGATTTGGTTTGATATTTGAGGTTCACTGTCCTATAGTATACATTGGAATGATTTCAAACCTGTTGTTATTTATCCTAATAATTATAAAGGAGTGCCTTGGAAATATTTGTTTACATCAATTGTGACCCACTGAGATAACTTAGACTAAAGGGGGGGGGTCTCTCTCTCTCTCTCGCTCTCTCTCTCTCGCTCTCTCTCTCTCTCGCTCTCTCTCTCTCTCTCGCTCTCGCTCTCTCTCTCTCGCTCTCTCTCTCGCTCTCGCTCTCTCTCTCTCTCTCTCTCTCTCGCTCTCTCTCTCGCTCTCTCTCTCTCTCTCTCTCTCTCTCTCGCTCTCTCTCTCTCGCTCTCTCTCGCTCTCTCTCTCTCGCTCTCTCTCTCGCTCTCTCGCTCTCTCTCTCGCTCTCGATAAGTCAATATCCCCCACTTTCATCACGCACATCGTACAGGGCAAATGCAAAAATGTTGCCGACCCGGGGTCCAAAGGGTGTTTACTTTATTCAATTATTAATGTAAATGTATTACGTCAAGGGCAGAAAATTAGGCAGAATAAAAAAGAAAAAAATTAATTAAACATTTTTTTTTCTCCCAGCGCAGCGCCCTTCTAGATCTGGCGCCCTAGGCGACCGCCTGGTTATATGCACTGTTCTTGTGACGGTTGACACTCCTCACACAAAACAACAAGGCCACGATCCTCAGAGAATCTTACGAGTGAGCAGGAGCTGCTGCCGCGCTGCAACCCGCTGTCTTCCTACAGGGAGCTCTGCACACACACAGTCAGTGTGATCACACACTCTTACACACCACAGCCCGCCAGGATACTCTCAAAGTGAGGGACATCAACACGCAGTGCATTTAAAACGTGAAAAAGCTCAGACCGCTTCATCATTACATCCTGTTCTGAATTAAAACAAGCTTAGTTTCATGTGTTCTTAAGCACGCTGGTGAGGGAATGCTAACAGCAAGTGCTATTTAACACTGTGTAAAAGTTATATGCTGGGAATAAATGGGACCAACCCTACGAAAGAGCTGCTGAGAGACGTAACTGAGTGACCTGTAGAATTGAACAGAGACGAGGTTCAGGTCTGAAAGGCTTGAAACGGGTTGTGCTAACTCAAGTATGAAACATGATTCAAGTGATTTATTCTGAGAGGTGGAAGGTTAGCTAGCAGCCACAGAGCAGCAACAACTGTATTTCTCACTGTCTACAGACCTGGTAACCATTGTAAGTGGAGCCGGGGTTTCTGGCAGAGGACAGACCATTGTAGCTGTACAGGTCAGAGGAAGAGTAAGAAGTCTGAAATGAGGAAAGAGGAAGAAGCGAGCCAACAGAAGGATGCAGAAGGGAGTGGGGAAAACAGACAGGAAGTTCAGAAACATATTTTTAAACATATCCAATTCTTAACAAAGTGTAACAGATAGAATTGGAGGGATGAAACCCTCTTTAATGGTCACACATGCAGAGCACACAGCACACAGTGACATTTGGCCTCATTTAACCCATCCTAGTACTAGAAGCAGTGGGCAGCTATTGTACAGCGCCCGGGGAACTATGGGAGTGGGGGGGAAGGGGGATATCCGGTGCCTTGCTCAAGGGCACCACGGCAGGGCAGGAGGTGAACTGGGACCTCTCCAAGTACCAGTCCACACTCCATATTTAGATCTGGTCGGGGACTTGAACCGGCGACCCCATGGCTCACAGTCCAAGCCCCTACTGACTGAGCCACTGCCGGACACCATGCTCCCGACATTCTGCTGCCTTTAATAGAAAGCAAAGAAAAGGAATCCACATGCTTGACAAATGGCTGAACTGACAAAGAAAAGTGCTTTGCTAACAGTTGAGCACAAAAGTATTCCAAAAGCAGTCACAGTCCTGAGTCTCTGGGATATACAGCACACACTCCACAGCAATGGGGGAACACATGCACCCAGATGTGTTCTTACTATGGATTGATGAGAAGATGTTTAGAAGTGCACTACAGGCCTCAATAAATACGATACTTTAATCAAAACAATGAAAACGTTCCCAGGTCTTAAGCAGTTGAAGTGTTAATGAACAGCATTTCAGACAGTGTGCACCCAAAGCCATTAGTGTTGTGAGAAACAAACAGTCTGAGTGCACAGCCACCCACCGGCTGCAGGTCTAATTTGGAGCCCCGAGACCCCCGGGGGTCATCACTCAGTCTGGAGCTCTGGGGTTTGGGGGGGGGGTTACAGAAAGCATCAAACACCGACACCTCAAAAACTAAAAGGCCCTTCTTCATACATCTCACACAGAACATGCCGTTAAGTTATAATGTCATTACTTTCAATCCTTCAGTAACATAGAACATACATCTAGAATACAAATCTGACTTTCATGGTCTTTGTTTGTAATAATAGCTATAAAAGGGTAATAGTAAGTATGATTGTGATCTGTATATGTACTTGTTGAACTTTTCCCTTTCTTTGATTTATTATTCACCAGCCCTTGTCAATTTCTTTGTTAAATTCTTACATTGAGAGATGAACTATTTATATTTTTGACATTATAAAACTTATTTAACATACATTTAGATACAACATACATTTGAATTACATGCAGTCTGGCCAAAAACGATGCAAGTGAATAACTCACGGCATGGCTTTAGCTCTTTGCCCTCCGCTTTAACTTTGTTAGCTTGTCACTGTGTAATTCATATTGATTTAGTTTACTTTAATATGTATGCCACATCAAAGAACCAGGTTAGACAAGAACAGCATTACTAGATTAAATTACAGCTGTTTCTGTCTACAGAACCAGACTAGACCAGTTTCAAAATGGTTCTCCCTATTGCTCAATTAAATACAAAAACAAAGGAAAATAGGGTCCAGGTTCAAATATACCAACGTTAACATATGAAATGTTTTGTGCAATCACTGTACCGCTGTTCAGGGATTAAGACAAGAGGACCAACACGCACCGTGAGGTCCAGCCTGGAGGAGCGGGACACTCTGCTCTCATCACTCAGTCTGGAGCTCTGACAGCAGGACACACAGGAGCAGCATGAGGACACGCTCACATTGTCTAGAAAGCTCCAACAGACCACACGTCTGAACCATCAGTCGCACACACACACACACAGCTACTGACCCTGCTGGACAGGACACTGTGATCATCATCAGGCCCGTTCCTCTGTGAACACAGAACACGAGTGAGAAACTCTGGAGTCATGTCTGTGTGGGATATACAGGACACTGAGCTTCTACCTACGTCTCTGTCTTTGTGCTTATGTTTCTTCTTTCTCTTTGACTTCGTTAGTGAGGAGGAGTCCTTAGCGTGAGAGAAGAGAGTGAGCACAGTGGAGGGGAAGCATCTGAACCAGGGATGTCACCATAAGTCAAATGAAGCATACCATAACTGGTGACAATCCACTATTATCAATACCAATTCGATACTACGATGAGAAACTAAAATAAAATAATATGCCAATATACCATGTTCCTAAACACCATTTATTATTGTTAGCAAACAGTTTTTGTTAGGTGGTTAAACGGGTCATTATTTCCTCTCTTAAATCTATTTAATATTGCCTTGACAACTGTATGTATTCAAGTAACATTTCAACAGATATAATATTCATCTTTGCTAAATCAAGATTGAATGCATCGTAATGTAACTAATGGAACTAAATGGAACCTGAAGCTAGCAGAACTGTTTCCCACCGCTAGCTAACAGCTAATAGCTAATGTTACCATGGTCATCTCCTGCCAATTCCAACAGGGTTGAATGTGTTGTTCACTATAGCATCAGGGCAGAAATAGGGTGCTTGATGATAGCTAGTTTGCTGTGAGCTTTACAAACTTTCAGTTTAGGCATGATGCGTCGGTAGAAAAATGTGTATTTTGTCATCTGTAACTAATAAAAAACACAAACACCCAACACATACATGCACAATGAAGTCTTGACACTGACCCGACAGACAGCAGAAGCATGTTAATACATGGTGGCTGTTGTCAGTTGGTCAGATAACCATCTGACCAACTGATTCAGCCAACACTCACTGAACCAAACATCCTGGCTGCTCAGGAAAATGAATAATAAATGACATAGCAGAGAAGAAATGGCACCTAACATTGTGAGACTTAACCAAGCCTAAAAGAGTGTGGCCTGTGTTTTGGTTGGAGCCTGATATCTGAACAACAGTGTTCTTTTGTCAAAATCAAATCTGACTCCAAAATGTTCCTTCACAACAGCAATAACACATACATGTATCGTTTCCTTTAATATATACACAATCCAGTCCACACACTTTCATCCTGCATACAATGGACAGAATATAAACCTCAATTCGAATCCATTTCATTTGTACAACAAAGAAAGCATGCATCTCAAACATGCCTTCATCATAAAAAAGACAATGCTGACTCACTCCTTTTATGTGAACCCCATGTCTCTTCACAAGGACAACACACATGTACTCCATGCTTTGAGTTCTTCAAATAAACAGTTAGTCCAACAGCGACTCATCAACACAACGAATCCTCAGGTAGTGGGTTAAAAATCTCATCCAAGGACATCAACCCTTACCCCTCCACCATAAGCCCCAACTGAATCAAGATCCGACTGTGCAGAAGACACAACGTCAGGATCAGTATACAGCGCCACGCACACTGACAGTTCCATGTAAAGTGACATAGTACAGACAGATATTTAAATGAAGTATTTGGATCTAAATGCAGTTTGAGTGATACTGACCTTGGCACTGCTCCGGCTCCCCACTGACATCCGCTCATCGTCGTCAGACAGCTGTGAGAGGGGACACAATGAGAGGAGGGTTAGGGTTCAGGAAAAGGGTCCCCATGTCAGGGTCAACATTAGGTGAGAGTGATGAGTGGATTATGACAGGACGTCTCCTGCTGCAATGACAAATGGTTCAAATGACAGTGGTAACTTTGTAATTTACAACATTCTCACAAAACCAAATAAAAGAAGCTTTTTAAGGAAAACATCAATCATTTAATCTAAAAAATGACTATAACATACCTCAAGGCTTGAATACAGCTCATTTTCAAATAAAAGCTGTACAACAGAGAATTGTTGAGTCTGTACCTACAGTTAATACAGCACAGTTATCTCCTTCTCTCTTTTCACCATAGTTTCTCTTGTTAACAAAAATATTTCTCTCATTCAAGATTTCAACTCACAGCCATTATACGAGTATGTATGGTGTGTGCACATACACACACCATACATGGATTAAGCTGAGGCCACATTAGATCCTGCCTATGGTCTTCAGGATTAATATTTCCATGTAACGTTTTCCGAGTGGTGGAGGACACATTGTAAGGGAAAAGCACGAGGAGATGGAACGAGAGGGAGTGCTACAAACCGTGTGTACCCGTGAAGAACGTGAGCATCTCTCACTGTCCTCCTGGACGAGGGAGGGGGGTAGGTGGAGAAGAGAGGAGATGAAGGGTGAAGAAGAGGAGAGAGATGTCAGAGATCAATGAGACAGATGAAGGAGGGTCCATGACTCTGAGGTCAGTCAGGTCCAGAGTTCACTCCATAACAAAGTAGCATGATTTCAACCAGCCCAAACATTGCTTAAACATTTCATGTAGGACCCTGATGTTGTGACAGTGGGTTCATTACGGCCCAGGTGAATCTCCACTCCTCAGATAGAATGAAGATGTGGTGGGCTGAACTGAATGTCCTTTTTTACATTTGTTCAGCTTCTATTGAAGATTACCCCAAAAAGTAAAAAACAATCTCAATTTCAATGAAGGGTTTCTTCAGATCAAATAAATGTTTTCAGTGAAACTACTTCCTTTAATAAACATAACTTAATATCATATATTTTAATAATATTAGTGTAACCTAAAAGAAAAAGACCATTGCAGCATAGACATGTTGATTTCAAATGTCTTTGTAGCTGTTGAATACAGCCCTAATATATGTGTCTACAGCATTGCAGACCATACTAAACAAATCAATGTTAGCAAACACTAGCATACATCACCTGCTTTTTGTTCATTTCAACAGATTTGCACAATTCCTGCATTAAACAAATCAAGATCACTTTTGACATGATAATGGAGCACACATAATCAGACGTGCACGTCCCTGAAACCCTCACTGAGCCAGCCATTCAGAAACAAACCTCCCATTGCAACATGCACTCAGTGAGTTTCTTTAGTAAACAACAACAAGTCCACACAATGCAGTTAGTGAACCTACAGGTCACACTCTACAGTGTGTAAAGCTCTGAGGGTCTGGGACAGTGTCTAAAGTGGTCATTGAACTCAGTAAATCCCATGCAGTGTCACAGCAGATGGTCAGACTGACTCTGAGCCACACAGGCACCCCGCTTCTTTGAATAAGTGGATTATCATTAATGGCCAAGCTTTGACTCTTTATAATCCCATATTTTGTAAAAAGGCTCAACAGGAATGATCTGAAATTCAGCTGCAGACTGCACACTACAAAAGCCTCCGTCAGACAGGCAGGCAAAAATAAAGAAAACATGCGTAGTGTTAGCGATGTCTTCAGCGCACAGTAACTGTACCATCCATTGTTCAATATCTCCCCATTTGCTGTCCGATCGGTCGTCTACTTTGGTGTTCAAGCCATAATATTTCTGAGAGACATGAGGGAGGACAGCTCAGAAAACAGAACACAGGTAACACACTTCCTTTACTTCGGCAGGATCTGAAGCACACGCCACAATGATGTCCGAGGTGGGACTGAGCAAGAGGAGGCCTACCTTCTGCACCTGAAAGATCTACACACCGACGAGACGTAGAGGAGAAAGATCGGAGGATATCAAACATGAAAAAAGGGGAAAGAAATGATAAATCAGCTTTGGAAATAATATTTGATGAAGAAAGATATGAAATCTAAACAAAAAGCAGGCAGCTGCAGTATGTGACGGATAAAGACAGACTGCATGCATGAAAAGTACAGAGGAAGGGTTCTGCTAATGAGAGGAGCTCAGGAATGTTCAGTACCCCACTGCACATCAGGACCAACACAAAGTGACCCCAGAACACATGGAGTTCACTGGAGATCTGCAGACTGGGTCACCAGGCGTTTGCCATGGTTCTTTAGGTGTGGATCAGTGGCAGAAAGCAGTGCCAGGAAATGCAGAACAGAATAAGGAGGTGAGCTGAGCTTACATTCAGACAAAGTGAACAATATCCAGAGGAAACCCAAACTTGCCAACCAAAACGTGTTTTTAATTGTTGGGTAATACACTGATTGCCTTTGCTGCAGAGTGTTATGGCACGTTTCCACTACAGCGCGGTTTAAGCGTGCCGTGCCCGTGTTTGGTTGCGTTTCCACTAGGCGTAGTTCAGGCTAGCGGGTACTTTTTCACAGTTTTTCTGGCTCTCCAAAATCGAGGTTCTTTCCGGGCCAACAACCAGGCTGAGTCTGCTAAACTAGAGAGAACCGCTGGCAACTACAACAACATGAACATATTTGACCGTGATGTAATTGTAATACACGTTTCTAAATGATGCCGAAGTAACAACACACTGATACCGGTTAGTAAAAACCATGAATTAATGCTTTGCAAGTCTGCAGACAGACGGCAGGCGAGACACCTTTTAAAAAGCGTGTTTTCTGAATGGAGATCGGCTAAGCTAACGCAGTATATGCTCCGACCGTCCACACTCACAACAACGGCCTACAGACATAAATAAAGCAGCGACTGTATTTAGTGTTGCTTCACGACCAATGTGTTTTGACTGTGTCTAAAGCTATAACTTAAAGTACATTTGTCAGGATTTCCCTGGATGTCGTGCTGATTCTCAAAGACAGAACATATTTATATTCTGGGAAAATGAATCCTACTGAGCAGTATGACGCTACAACCAGCAGCCAGTTAGCTCAGCAGAGGCTTATGAGCCGGAGCATTTCTTGGTTGGGCACTTTGTGGTCACCAAGCACTCGACTACTCTTTGCATTTACTTTACAGATGCAGAGCTAGAGCACAATTGTATTGCGTGAAATATTCAGATTCAAAGAGACGTTTTCGCTCCAACATTACATCAAATTTGCAATTCTATTCTTCTTGTGTATTATTTTAAACATTTCTGCATCAGTACTGCGTGTAAAATTGAGCGGTGATTCTAAACTCCAATCACCACAGTTTTAGCTGTAAGGAGGTCTGAGGACCGGACCCATGCAGGGAGGACAGTGTCACTCCGAGTCAGCAAGTCAACACGTAGCTGTCTCATGTGGGGATGTGCTATATTTATTTGTATACAGAATGTTATTCACCATAGTCATTGTCATACAGTTAATCCTACTCATGCTGTTAACAGACATGGAAACATTGTTTACGAGAAAAATGTCAATTTAAATGTCCACACTGTGAACACCTCTGCCCTTCAGCTGTAATGTTTGCACTTCATATTCAAATCCCTGTCTGACTGAGCAGTAGAAATGTGCCACAGCTCCTTACGCTGATGACAAGACACACCCCTGTTTATTTAGAAAAAGGGCAACGCCTCTTTGACCTTGTCCCGATACCTCCGCCGAGCAAATCTAACACACCCCAGCCTACTGCTGCACTTTCCACCACATGGGTTCAGTACTCTAATCCAGATTTACTACCACTGTCTCCCTTGTAAGCTTGCCCAAAGCACGGATTGCCTGCCGTGTAATTCTGTCTTCCAAAATTCGACCCACACTGCCCTCTGCGTCCACTGCATCACTTTGGGAACAACACAACTCCTAGATAATCAGTGTGAGGACGGCCTGCTGCCCTCCTGTAGACTTCAGTGGAGATGAGAGTGCATGAACTCGCCATCTTCCAGGCAGAGTTCACGAGTTGTAGAGGACAGACTTATTTCAAATAACATACAATGAACGCTGTGGTGCACCAGATGCACATTATTTCTGCTTACGATATCCTTAATGTTGCATTATTAAAGCCACAAACTATCTGTGCACTAGCAGTAAACACATACAAATTCATGGCTCTGACTCCGTTATGACCTTTGACCTAGAAAAGATGCCATAATCCCAAATCTACATTTGTTGTTTTCCACTTCTAATGACAATTTAAAATGTAAAACGGCATAATGTGTCAAACATTGCACAGTGAGAACAGATCAATAAATGACTGGAGGGCTCTTGTCTGCTTACTTTTCTCCAATTACATGTCTGGACGACCAATTAGCAGGAGAGCCAGGGCACCTTCACAAGTTACTCAGTTTGCACCCTTTCCTTTACACTCACCGAGCTGCCCTTAGTGAAGGGAGGGGTCCCTGGGCGCCCGCTGAGGGCGGCCCTAAGCCCCCTCCCTGCCAGCCGACGCCCAGCCGTCCTGCTGCCTTCAGGGTATAAGGAAAGGTTGCATCCTTCAGCAGTCAGCAGGTAACACCACGGCCATGCATAAAGGTTTGAGCAGGGAACCACACGTCTCTCGTTTGCTGCTATACAGCCAATAATCCACCGTCAGCAGTCTTCAGCATGGGAGCAGACATCCTAAAGTCCTGAAGGTGGATGTGAGTGCAGCAACCCATCGCTCATGAAAACAGCACGGCAACAACAACGTCTCGCTGTAGGCTGCACTGAGGAGGACAACCTGCTAAGCTACTTTAGAACCCGGCTAAAGGGTTTAAGGCGCACACACACTGACCCTGACCAGACTCTACTTAACAGTGAGCCCTAATCCTGTGCGTATTTGTGTGTGCACGTGTTGTCTGTGTGCGCGTGAAGAATGTTGCTGTTGTCTCCCCACCTGTGTTTTGATTGCTGAATAATTGAGTGCTGCTGGAGGAATGAATATCCCAGAATAGATGAATGGGAAAAGGGGTTTGCTATAACGACACGTAAAGCAGTCATCTTTAAGGAACGAAGGAACAGGGATGGTGAGAAAACATTTGATGAAATCGCAGATATGTCATATATATGTTTGCATTCTGCCATTGTGAGCAATGCTGTACATCCAACGGCAGTATTTTTGAAATAGGACACACACACCATGTATACATCACTTCAGGGGACATTACATTGACTTACATGCATTTCCTGGAGACTTATCCTAACCTTAACCAACACATGCCTACCCCTTACCAAGTCTTCAGCCTAAAAGTAATGATTCCCCTTATGGGGACCTCCATTTTGTCCCCATGAGGGAGGTGAGTCCCCACACGTGACTGTGTACACACACACACACACACACACACACACACACACACACACACACACACACACACACACACACACACACACACACACACACACACACACACACACACACACACACACACACACACACACACACACACACACACACACACACACACACACACACACACACACACACACACACACACACACACACACACACACACACACACACACACACACACACACCACACACACACACACACACACACACACACACACACACACACACACACACACACACACACACTTCTGACGAGGCTAAATGTTGTGGCCTCTCTGAGACATTTCATTTAAAGCTTTAGCAAAGGAGATGCGTGACTTGAAGAGTCTTGAAAGATTTGTTCAATTTGGAGATAAACTGGAAGCGGTTCAAACCCTTCCTGTGAGTGATTAGTGATCCTCTTTGAGGGCTTTGGCTGACTTTGTGCTGAACCACGCGTGGGCAGTACACTACAGAAAATATCCATTCATTTTGTGGACTTTTCCTCGCTTATTTCCCGCACTTTCTATGAACAACTCCAGTCCCCAGCAGCAGTTCTCCCAGAGCTGCAGTGACAGCAGCCTGTGTACGACTGACACATGACCCCGGGATGTTTAACAGCATGGAGCCCTGCTGACAGGAAATGCTTTTGGTCTGAACGGCCATCAACACAGTACCAACAGGTCTGCTGAATTCTTCTGGTTATTTAGGGAAACGCATCATGCACACATCAGGACTTGTGTGGCATATTAAAGGATGGATGATCAGCGGCCCTCCCTCAATGTTAAGCTGTAATATTCAGACACATAGAAAACTCCAGACATGGAGTGATAGATGGATACAACTCATGCCAACATATGCTACTCAGCTAAATGACTGATGCCTTCTGCAGGTAGACATACTGGTCTCCTGTATTCTAAATGTGACAGTGCTTCTGGACCTGTACCTCTTTCTGTTGTCTCTCCAGCTCCTTCATGCGGATCTCTCTGGCCTCTGCCCGGGCCGCCCTCTTCGCTGCCAGCCTGGCCTCGGCCTGAGGGGCAGATAGAGAAAGAAATGGAACAGAGAGAAAATAGAGATGTGAGACAGTTTCCAATTTAGCTGGACCTAAGTCTCAAACATGTAGAAATGCTGAACGTGCGTGAGACCAGAAGTCAAGTTCCTCGACAGAATTCATAGAAAACATTTAGCGGTTAATTGCTGTAAAATAAGGGCACCATACATTTACTATCCGGCAGACTACATGTACGCCTAAACCAATAGGTGCAGGGTTTACAGTAAACATAGCATGTTCAAATGAGTAATAGGAGTATCAAGTTCACTGCTCCTAGTACTAGGATGGGTTAAATGCAGAGGTCACATTTCACTGTGTGCTGTGTGCATGTATGTGTGACCATTAAAGAGGGTTTCATCCTCCACAGTGAGCAGATGTGGTGGACGACTGTATTTATTAGTAGAAGACCCATGTTGACGTGCAGATTCAACAATGTGTAAATGTGCATATGTATTTATATTTCTGTATTTAAAGGCGTTCCCTGTGCTCCACTCAGCGCTCGTTCATGAGCCGGGCCTTTCCCTTAAAAGGACCTCTCAGAGCATGTACTGTGTGAGTGTGTGCTGCAGACTGTGTGTGTAAGCATTTCCTTCCTCAGCTTTGTGGTACACACTGTGTGGGTGCAGTGTGTTGGCCTCTAGGCGGGGTCTCTGTAATCCCTCCCACCCTCGCACTAATGCATTTCCCCAATGTCCCTCAACATGACCAATTCACAGGAAAACACTGACAAAGAAAAGAAGGAGTCCGTTTCAAAGGAAAGCATGTTCACAGGCACACAAACCCACCATTAAAATAACTTTGTCAGGAAATATAAAAGAGAAAAGAAAAGGGAACATTTCCTGCTCAAGAAACCAAAGGAGACACAAATCAATGTTTCATTTTACTCTTGGTATTTGTTCACTTAAAACAAATGTGCTGTTGGAGATAATAATTCATTCTCCATGGTAGATCTGGAGAAAATAACATTTTTGATGAATATGATCAGTAATGTTGATACAATGACCAGGTAAAGACTACATCAAAGAAGAGCTATAACAGTTGTCAGTTTAGAAAATAACCTTGTATGCATATATAGTAGGGATGTGCGTCTCCATCGCTGAGGCCGATGGATGCGCATCTCGAGACGCTGCCAACGATACGATACATTAACGATACATTTGAAGCACTGGGCGATGCGATATGATTCACCCCTGTTGCGATACAGCTCGATACGATTTGATTCAACATTATGCGATTCGTGGCGATACGATGCGATTCAACACGATGCAAAATAATGATACAATTCAATATGGTACGACAGAGGATTTTTGTTTTATTCCTCATATGCAGCAAATCATACATTAACAAAAAAGTGCTTTACATATTTGGTTCTCTCTACTAGTACTGCGCATCCCATCATGCTGTTTCTTTTTTACCTTAAACAAAACAAACACTTGGACCTTTCACAGACTGGCCTTTTCACAAGTGTATTAGGGTTCTCTGTCTCCAGAGTACAGTTCAATGTTATAACACCTCACAGTTAAACTATTTAAGGATGCATTGCCTATGAGTAACAATGTGCTAATAACAGCTACCATAGTGCAATGCCCATACAGCTGCCAGTCTGATGTGCTTAACACTCATCCAGAGGCTAACTCACCAGTGAGCAGAAAGCACTGGTTTCTATAGGAACAATAAAGAAAACAACCTCTTTCACAAACAGGTCTTTCATAGCTGCTTACAGTAAGGAAGACATTTCAACTGTTATTGGCAGTCACAGGCTGCTGTAAACTAAACACCTCTCTCTCTGACAGAACACCTCACTGAGTGATTTAACTCATACGTCTAACTTTCAGGTTTCTCTTTTCAGCCGCAGACCTCATGTCGCCTCTTTATGTGCGTCGCTAAGTTCCTCGTACTACTTGTGTACTTTAAAGCGGCTCGGCATCGTTTACAATTTGCGAGCGATTTTTCAAGTTGACCGTCTTTCTTGAAAAATCTGAAGTGTTGCCAGACGTTTGATTTGTAGGTATTTGTTGGTGCGCTGTGTTCAGTGGTGACTGGGCATTTGGGGCACAGCCCCACCTGGTGTCAGCAGAAAGTATTAAAAATAATTATTACAACAAAAATAAATTAAAAAAAATATTAAATATATTTTAAGATCATGTTTAATCATCTGATTCGTCTGTACATTGTTGTTTTAGTCTGGGTTCTTCTAATTAGTGTCTACAGTGTGTGCCTATTGAGCTGTTTAGAGCCATGTGGGACAAAACCCGATCCTGCCCCTCCCTCTCACTGTCTAAGTGAACGGTGACTGTAAAAACTACACTGCGCATGCTCAGAGTATTGTCCTATTTAATGTGTGTGGCAAAAAAAGAATGACCATAGGGGCATAGTGCTGCCATCCCCACCATACGTCATCTCACATCATTCAGAGCTGATTGGCTGTAAGTACGTGTGCCGCGAAAAGTGTGTTGTGTGAAGAGGACACGAGAGACGCGTCCTAAAACCCGGAAGTAAGCTGCGCATGGGTTCCCTCGACAAAAAAGCAATGAGATTTCTCCATAGGATTTTAGAAAATAGCTCCAAATAAGATCTGTGGGAAACGTAGCTGTTAGATAAATGCACGTTTTGTTCAGCCGGATAATATCCACATGTCTACCCTACTTTTATAATTTTCGAATCATAAATCTATTGATTAGATCAGATTTATGATAGACTTTTGAAACTACAAGAACATAAGGAGGACTTTTACAAAAAAAGTAATAGAGATTTTTGTCCAGAAGGATAGGCAAATGGACTTCATCTTCAAGTCAAGGTAAGACTGCAATTTTATTGAAAATGGGATCTTACTAAGAGAGAAAGATTCAATATTTAAATGATACAATTACATTTTTTGGGTATCCTTTTGTTGAATGTCAAAATAGATATATAATATTTGTAAACCTGAAGAGTCAGTGCCTCACCAGCCATGAACCTCACTGCACGTCACTGCAGAAGCTTATATATAGACATCCAAGTTTTTTGTGCCCCACCACTTTTGTACATATAAAAACGCCACTGGTTGTGTTTCTCTTTCTCCTCGACTTCCATGTGTGTTGATAACTGAGACTCTCAGCCTCCGTAGTGCAAAGCAAAGATCAAAGATCGTCTCTGCTGAGTGCTGACGGGATGAGAGGATTTTATATGAATGTATCGTTTTTTTACCGATGCAAAGACGCTACAATCGATGCATCGCGAGTTCAACCCAAACTGTAGCCGATGTGCACTCTTTCAACCGGTGCACTCGCATCTTGAACGTTTATGCCGGTGCACCGATGCAAATCGGTGAATCTTAACATCCCTAATATATACACAGCGTTTCCCCTATATACATTCAGCAGCGACACAGCATATAGTGCACATACACAAAAACATACAGTTGCCATACTTATCAAATATTTATCAAAATGTTCCTACGTTCACATTTGACATGTTTGTGTGTTTTATGTCATATTATGTTTGGCGGGCAGTCCTGGTAATGTTGAGACGCGCTGCCCTTCTTTATTACCACAAAGTCTGAGTATACTGTATGTTACTGACCAATCCATGCAACCTAATCCCAATCATGAGACCAGGTGCACCTCATGGTATGATCACTTAAGTTATTTGTGGTCTATGTGCCAATGACAGGTCACCTGTCATTTTGTCAAAAGAATACATATTTGGTTCCAAGCCAAATCCTGGAAACACAAATGGTACTCATTTTCATGAATACTGCTGATACCATAGCTACCAGTGGCTACCAGAGCTCAGGGCTAACGGCGTCCAGTGACCCAGGGGACGACAGGAAATGAATTTGGGACGAACAAAGATCCTCGTTCAAGGGACACACTATCTTTTACCTGATAATGCTACATTGTCATCCTACAAATTATAATTGCGTTTTTGTGTTGTGCACTTCTATGCATTATTATTAATTGTAAAGCACTGTTTTTGAAAAGAGCTAGGCTATATAATTAAAGTGTATTACATTCTTAGCTGTGCCTCAGCTACATGCTCCACAGTGTTATTATCACTTTCATCTACTTGTGTAGCAGTGAGAGAAAAAGTTTTTAGAGAGTACTTGTCCATGGACAAGTGAGTTTGGCAATTTACTTGTCCGAATAAATTGTTCACTTGTCCAGAATGGACACAAATTGGGGCCACTGGAATCTTCTTCTTCATCATCGTATTTTACATTTTCCCACGTTTTTTACGACACCGCTAACGTAAGTGAGCGGTAAGCTTTTACTGCATCACACATAGGGTTGGGTATCGTTTGGATTTGAATGATTCCGGTTCTGCTTTTTGATTCCAGTTATTTTCGGTTCTCGATTCCGGTTCTTAAGAGGGTAAAAATAAGTCCCATGACAAACTGGGAGAAAAATATATTTATGAAAACATTAAGTCAAATCTGTATTCATATTTACAAATCACTTCATACTGTTGAATTTCTTACGGTTATTGAATACAATTATATAAAAATAATCTCTGCATTGTTTAGTTAGTTCTAAGTGGTGCAGTTTGAGAATGTACAATTGGCCCAGTCTCCTCTGATGTTACACTGCAACCTGCCTGTGAGACAGAGTCCAACCACACATGTCCAACACATAGGACATAACCTAATAATAATAATAATACATTATATTTATAGCCTATAGGCCTAGCGCTTTTCTACAACTCAAAGACGCTTACACATGTCCTGCAATACACATGCTGCAGCTGCCCAGCTGCTCACGGTTTGTAAAAGTAAATAAATAGTATTTTCATTTCAATAATGTACTTTCTATACCCTGCTTCATAAACAATACTGACATTCCTGTGCTGCTCCGAGTCTGGGGGTCCGGGGGTGTGAGGACAGCGCGAGGACACAGACAGGGAGGCTGCTTTACTTCATAAAGGAAATTGCGGTCAATATTAACAACACAGGAGCTAAAACGCTTAATAACCTTCATTACGTGTTAGAGAAAGAACATAAG